CAGTGCTTCACCTATAACCTCAGCTTGAGGACGCTGGGTTCTGCACCCCCTGGCCTGTCTTGCATGTGGCTCCCTCTGGGGGGGTGAGACTAAGATGTGGGTCTTCGGGCTGGCCACATTTGATAGATGTGTTGAAAAATCATCCAGCCCACGTGCAAGCCTCACACCTTAAAAATGTTTTCATTTTCTAGAAAAATGCTAACCAGAGTGGTGGTGGTGATGATTAGGGGGGAGGGCAAGTACATCCCGCTGATAGCAGAAAGAGAAGGTGGGAAATCGAGAGCAATAAGGGGCAGAGAAATGAGGGAGTGACCACAAAACCATCACCATGAAACCTTTGGTCTCCAGGGTTCTCCGGGTAAGTTAAGGGACAACATGAATAAATCAAATAAAAGGGTAGGTGTCAGTGACTCAGATTAAGAAGTAATACAGCCACTGAGTAAGAGGGGAAAAAAGTTACTGTGCCTCATTCTCCCATTTTTCTGTAACTATAATCACAGTTTGGGATTCACCCAATTTTTCAGTTGACACAACCACCAGGGGAGTGTCATCGAGCTATTTGAATGGTGACAAACTGGTTACTTGGTTGTAGGAGAAAAGCGTTTTTAATTTCTAGATTCTTAAAAAAATTGTCATTTTCATCTGCATTCTAAACAAATAAAACTATGATTTATATTTCAAAATTGAGAATGAAATTGACTTGATGGACTTCTGAGATTTCCAAGACTTGCAGCTTAATGTCTCCTGGCAGACAGAGAGGGGAAGGGGGACACACACTGTTCGGGTGCAGGGTTCTGTGTAGGACTGAGCTTACCATGGCCCATGGTGATGCTCCACCAGCTCTCACCATGTCCAACTCCCCCCCGGGACTGAGCCGCTAGAAGCCCCACCACACAGCAAGAGATTGCTGTCACATAGGAGAGAAGGAACAGAGCAAAACACAGCATAAGCTGGAAAAACATTTTGGTGCAACGTCTTTCAGCTTGAGCCCGTTCTGGGCCTGAATTGGAAAAGATGTGCTTTCTCCTCTTCTGAGGTGGGAGGAGGTGAGGGCTGAGTAGTCTCCCGAGGAAGACAAGAAAACCTGTATCTTGTAGTCCAAACCATCTGAAGGTGTATCCCTGTAGATTCCATTCTGGTTTTATTTTTAAGATGTTATTTATTTATTTGAAAGTGAGTGAGAGTGAGAGACATCACAGAGGGAGAGGAAGAAGCAGACTCGCTGCTGAGCAGAGAGACTGACGCGGGGCTCAATCCCCAGATCCTGAGATCATGACCTGAGCCGAAGGCAGTTGCCTAACCAACTGAGCCACCCAGGTGCCCTGATTCCATTCTGTTTTGTTATCTCTTCTCCTCCTGTAAAATCTTTCTGGTCCTTGCAGATGTCAGCCGTGCTCCTAGGAATTAGTCAACAGTAGTTAGGCCGGAGCATTCAAGGTGGGCAGTGGCAACTGTTGTTAGTAAGAAAGCCCCTAAAGAAAGGTGACTCTGGAGGACAAGAGCCAGGGCTGCGGGTCTCATTTCCTTTCTTAAGGGGAGAATCTCTCTCTCCCTGAGGACTAGGGTTTGACTTTTGTTAAAGCAAATGGCAAGGGTGCCTAGGAGGTCCAGTCATTTAAGCATCTGCCTTCAGCTCAAGTCATGATCCCAGGGTCCTGGGATCGAGTTCCACGTTGGGCTCCCTGCTCCACAGGGAGTCTGCTTCTCCCTCTGACCCTCCCCCTACTCATTCTCCCAATCCCTGTCTCTCTCTCTCTCTCTCAAATAAATAAATAAAATCTTAAAAAAAAAAAAAAAGCAAATGGCAGCACCCCTTCAAAGCTACCTGTGTATGGAAGGGAGAAGTGTTCCTGTCCATCAAGGCCCCCAGAAGAATTCCATCTGAGATGTGTGGCCTCCAGCCATTCAGACCTGATGTTCTGCTGCTGTGAGAGCCAGCGTGACCCCCAGTCACTTATTCTAGACGTCATGGATTTGTCATCGATAGTCTTTATTCTAAGAGGGAAGCCAGGGAGGAATTTTCCACTTTCTTAATTTTCCAGACACAGCCCTGGATAAATCAACCAAACAAAGCATGTGTTGAAGGAAAGTTTATGAAAATATGAATCAGGATCAAGAGCCAAGGAAAGGTCAACGGACTGGGCCACAGCAGGCAGCTCTCTGAGTCACTGCGGGGCTCAGCAGGGGCAGAAGACACTGAGGGTCTGTGTCCCCCCAGCCCCCATGTAGGTCAGACAGCTCCTTGTAGCTCTGTGAGGCTGCCAAGCACTTTCACGTGTGTCTTTGTCTCGGTTGACCTTCTGGGAAAAGACCAGACCTTCCCGGGACCTTTATTTGATGTGACTCAGTCTTCACCCAGGACTTTCTCACGCGCAGACTCACGGTATTTGAGGGGAGAAACCAAAGGAAGTGGGTTCTGGGGTTGACTCAGTCATTAAGGAAGGTGAGCCAAAAGGTAACCGAGGGGTTCAACACCTATATTTCATCTTTCCTCTGACCCATTTGCCTCTCACCCTTGCCCTCAGGTCAGTCCCGTCCCCTCAAGTTATCCCAAGAGACCTGGGGCCTGCCTCCAAGGAATGGGGAGAGGGCCTCTTTTACATCACCAAGCCCCGCTGGGGAGACATGAGAGAATGGGTGGTGACCTTCAGCTTTCATATAATCTGCCTTTTTGTCCATTATCCATGGACATCTAAATCTTCTTTCTTATGCACACTTAGACATGAGTCCATCAGCTGGCAAATAAACCTTACCTTCCAACCACCATTTCAGTGGCAATTCAATTACTTATATCTTTACCAGATTGTATCCCTTTATTCCATTAAAAACTCATGGAAATTAACAATGGAAATGCTCAAAGTAGTAAACTAATAATAATAAAATGGAAAATGAGATGGGTATCACTGAGTATTCAAAATGACAAATATTTAGTATGAGGCTTAATGCTCCTTGATCTCTAACAGCTTAATTAGGGGTCTAAATGCTGAGATTAAATGCTAAAGAACACCTACAAAACAGTGAAAGTGCACATTTTGGAGACCGCATTATGAATAAAATGGAGGGAGCTCAGTGGAACTCCAGCAACCCGTCCCTGAAATCTCCATTAGGAATCAACCCATTCTCTGACATGAGTCATTAACGGTTTCTCCATTTTGGGCCAAGGGCTGTCTACACAAATGCTACTTCAAGCCCTTCTCTCCCACCACCACCCCCCAACCAAAGAGCGCCTCTGATCCGCTGCTACAGAAATTCTGGAAGGCTCTGAGGGAAGCAGTCTTCAACGCAAATTGTCAATTCTCATTTTAGGAGTGTTCGGGTGAAATTATGGCAAGAAGTGAACAATCCCCAGTGCCATAGCAGGGTGCTTGAAATCACAGCTGCTGAGTGTCTAAGGGGGAAGGGAACATGATCTAAGAGGCGGGAGGACGGGTTTGAGGCCAGGGGCGGGGTAACAGCGCTATCCTCCAGAGGCCCAGGAGAAGGATAGGATTGTCAATTGGGTCTTCCCAGTTCAGGTACTTCCTTCAAGTACTCTTCTGGCCTGGGCTACTGTGTGGTAGAATGAGTACGGCTGAAGCTTATTCCTGGCACTCATCTCCCAGGACGAGGCTTCAAAGCTCCTTGAGCTCCCCACCATCAAGACCAAGCAGCAAGCAAGGAAAGAAATCAAAGTCTCCATCGGAGCAGATATTCCTGTGGGATCTACCCAGCAGATATACCCAGGAGATCAGGAAGGCTGGGGGTCCCTGCGTATGTGGAAGAGGACACCAGCCAGCAGACAGGGCAGCATGGTTTGGAAAATTACTCGAGCCGAGAGCCCACAGCACGGGGCACAGTCATAGATCCATCGATGCCAATACGGAGCACCCTGTCTCCAGGGGCATTTTGTGTGTGTGTGACTTTAAGAAGCTAGTAAAAAATTTAGGATTCTCCAAAAACCATGAGCTGCCTACTGCAAAACATTCAGTGCCAATGGATATTTTTTCCCTTTCAATTGAACTTTTTCCCCTGAATATCATGACCAGAGTTCTTTAAAGTGTGTCCAATCTGTCCATAAATAGCAACCACTTATCATGCCCATACTCACTTATGTCATCTTTTTCCTCACGTCATCCCCGAATGATGACAAGCTCAGAGAGGTTGACCTGCTTCTCAAAGGCCCCACAGTTAGTGGAAAAGTCAAGTTTCAAATACAAGCTCTTCCCCACTAGGCAGAGCCCTGGACTCCCAGGTCCCCAAGTGGTAATGAGGCTCCAGGCAAGAGGTAAAATTCAGTTAACTCCAATGCTTTGTGTTAGATGTGACAAAGCTGTCCCAGGAAAGGACATAGCCTCCTTCATTGACCTCTCTCATCTAAAACCTCTAGCTATTCAGATGGATCCATTCAAGAAAGGTAAAACTTACTGAAGAAATTCTTAATCCTGAATGTTAAATTTCGTATGAACCTAAATGCTAAAGTTTTGCTTACTGCTAGGCAGAAACGAGACCAAACAAAAAATGTGTGTGATCCTGAAAAAGCCCAAAGTAAATCGAGGGAAATCACTCAGAAGCCCTGACTGTGTAATTCTAGAAGCCCCTTCTCAGATTTCTAGAAGTTAGTTCCATTGAGTGGCTGGTGTCACAGGACTGAGGGGGTCAGAAAAGTTGTCGTAGGATGAGCCACGGCACAGTGAGAAGACAGGAGACATCTGTCCCAGCTCTGCCACCAAGTATCGAGCATCTTTAGTTTACTCCCTTCACACTTCTGGCCCCTATCTGACTAGGATCTGTTTCCCATTTTTTTTTTTTTTTTTTTACATCCCGGTGCACGCACAGGTAAGGCCTACGGCTCCAGACACGCCATGAGGAAATATCTCAGGAGTAACAGTCCTCGGAGACCTGCAGCTCATTTGTGGCAGACCAGTAAGGCAGCCCTGGGCTAGATGATGACTAAAATACCATGAAAATCCCAAGTCTGTGTTCCTTTCCAAACAACTTTCAGGAGGACCCCAGAATGGCTCACTCGGCACGTTTATCACTGGACCTCTACACAGAATCATATAAAATTCCGAGATCACATCTTATACGTACAGAAATGAAAGTCCCTCTAGGGAAGGGGTCTTTTTCCCATGGCCTGGGGACCTTCCGTAAGGTCCCTTTGAGGAACTTGAAAAACTCAAGTCAACCTTCTCAAAATTCGGGCCAAAATTTTGTACGTACATTTTTTCTAGGGAGATATCCACATTGCTCCTCAAATTATCAGAAAGGGCCACTGTTTAAAAGGACAGAACTTACTGGAATAAGACAAGTTTTATCCATCTTTGAAGACATGTGGCTGTATTGTACAAATCCTGATTCAGAGCACTTGGTCTGTCACTAGGAGAGTATATTCAAGCCTGAGAACACCAGCACCGTGTCCAAACATATGAAAGGCCAGAACCTTGAGAAAAGGAGCCTCTTGTAGAGGACACAAAACATATTTAATAAGAATAAAATTGCAATATGCTGATATAATTCATTCATGTTACTGCATTGATAATACACCTTTACACACCTTAAGACAAAAAGAAACAGAGGGCACATGTTGGAGGGGAAGGAAGGTTTTGGCTTAAAAAATCATTCCAATTAAGAAATTCGCCAACAGTACTGGTCTCCTATAAGTCACAGATTTTCAGAAAATACCTTTACCTCTGATGGATTGGCTTTCTTTTTTTCTGACAGCCTCAACTTGTGTTGTGTGGATACAGTCATTTATTTATAAAAGGTTAGTCACTGAATGATCCTGGAGAATCTCTTTCTAAAATTCATAGGCAACCGGCACAGCCTGACAAAAGGACACATCCCAGGGTCTCACCCGATCTCCTGACTCATGGGGCTGCTCTGCCTTTCTTCACTCTCTGGAGAGAAAGGGCTTGGAAGGAAGGGGAAGGCTGTAGGGGATGGGCTCCCCATAGGACACAGTGAAGGGCAAAGTGCCCCTCTGATGTCTGTGGCCATAGAGCCTTCCCCAGCATCAATGGCAATCTCCAGGTACCAAGCAGAGGAGAGAAAACTCAGGGGTGAGAGGAACAGAATGAGGAACACATCAGCCACCATCACTTCGCTCCTGGGTGCACCAAGAGAAGCAGCTTCCTTTACTTAAACTGGCAAATTCTCCATGAAGAATCATGACTCCCACGTTGGAGACAGAAACCGAGAGGCAAAGAATTCACAAACATCTGATTAGAAAGATCCTCATGAGCTTCTTATTTCTGTCGGTTGTCTCTCGTCACCAAAATAAAATCGATACCTGCTACCGTTCACCCAGGGAAGAAAGAAAGAAGGGAGGGAGGACTCCATAAGAAGAATGAAACAAAAAGCAAATACTACACATGAATCTGAAGGCCCTATGGCTAAGTGGAATAAGCCAGGCACAAAAGAGCAAACCCTGTAGGATTCCACTTACATGAGGTGCCTGGAGGAGCCGAAATCATAGACACAGAAAGCAGAACATTGCCAGAGGCTGTGGGCAGGGGAGAGGAGGAGGTAGTGTTTAACAGGGAGAGAGTTCCACTTGGGAAAGATGACAAAGTCCCACCAGACACTTTATGCTATCGGCAGCCCAGGAAGGACACAGAGCCACCTGGTCCTTTTCCCTGCCCCCCATACACTCTCTTCCTCCCTGCATGCTGGGGTCCCTATCCTCACCCCTCCTGCTTCTCCTCCCCCCTCCCCTGTCCTGCCCACTGGCTGACCCCCTTCCAGCCCCCATGGACTCTTCATTAGGGCCACTATCATGAGATACCACAGGCCGACTGGCTTACAAACAACAGAAATTTATTTCTCACAGCTGTGGAGACAAGAAGTCTGAGAACAGGTGCCTTCGTGGTCAGGTGCGGACCTTTTTTCAGATCACAGACTTCTTGCTGTGTCCTCACATGGCCGAAGCGGCAAGGGACTTCTTGGGGTATCTTCTACGAGAATACTAATCCTATTCAGGAGGTCTCCACCCTTCCGACCTGTTCACCTCTGGAAGGCCCCACCTCCCAATACCATGACACTGGGTGTTAGGACTGCAACATGTGAATTTGGGGCCCACAAACATTCTGACCCCAGCAGGACACTTGTTAGGGCTTGATGTCATCAGCCACAGAACGAGAGACTTGGACTCTATCCAAGCTCCTCAGCTGGGGGTCTTTGCAAGTAGTGATGAGTTTACAGCTAATTTTGAGCATCAAAAGTCCTTGCCCCTTGTTAAATCATAAATGGACTTGTGACAAGGGGACACTGGCTAACCGAAAGATTACTTTGTTTTACATGGACTAGAATCACATCATCTTGGTGTGCTGTTTCTCTCACATGTTGCTCAGAATCCCAGCCTTCTTGGCCAGTTGGAAAACCAGGTGAATTGTTACTTATTTTGATTTGACAAATCAAGTCTTTCAAGCCTGGGGCCCAACAGGATGGTGGTTAATGGGCAATCTCAGCGGGGCCACACTTGGTCTCCAATGGTCTGTGTGACCACTCAGTGGCTTCCAGTATGAGTGTGCTAAGATTGTGGTCACGATAAAAGTGTGGTTCTCCTTGCCAGCCCTCCCCAAGCCCACAGGTTGCCTCCTGCCATCCTCTGACTTCCATCTCTGGCCCCACGGGTGCCACACCATGCACCAAACTTCTTGACAACTCAACTGCCGCTCTACAATCCTCCGTGTCCCATTCCCCAGGGGCTCACATGCTACACCTGCTCTGTGTTCAGGGAGTGTTCATCAGAGCCCATAAGTGAATGAGGGCCTTCTGGAAGGGTGACAGCTTTCCCTAGAGAAGGAGCTCTGATCAAAACAAGCAGCAAACAGAGGACCTGTAGCAACGAGTACACAAGGGCAAGCTTCAAGCCGACTGCCCAAATGCCACGCATCCTTGTCCAACCATGAGCCACCCCATGCGGACAACGCCATCACGGGTGACCAACCCCACATTGGCCCCTCCCTAGCCAGCCAGGAGGTGTCAGGACGTGTGCTTCGGCAGCTGGGCAGAAGAAGATGGTGGAGGCCTTTTGGGTGGCATGTGATACCTCACTTGTTTCCAGAACTTGGACTTTGCACACTGTGACTGCTCTGTGAAATCCCCACTCCACTGGATGGCCCCATGCTTCTGCTTGATGTACTGAATTGACTCCGGCGTGGCCGCGTAGTCCTTGACTTTCTCCAGTTCAATCAGGATGACCTTCATCCCATCCTGGATGAGCGCATTGTAGACTGCAATTTGTTCTTCCGACATGTTCTTTAACAAGTCAAAGCTCAGGGATTCGGGAACTAAGATGATGATCAGTCTCCTGCACAGCTTGATGTTTTCGTCAATGACATTGGCCACTGCTGCAAATAAAGAAGATGCAGACTGTCTCAGGAGTGAAAGAGCCTAGACTGATCTCTGAGAATATTAGAAATGGGCCCTGGATAAAGGCAACGTGGACTTTAAAATAAATGTGACTTAGGAATGGGTAACAAAAGTGATTTTTTTAACATTCATCCTATCTTCTGTGAAGCCTTCCTGATTTTCCCTGAAAAATTGGTCCTTTGTGTTCCTAAGTCATATTTTTTGGTAGTTAGTTGCTGATAGGCCACTTTCCTTAGCCCACTGGCTGCACCCACAGACCGTGAGCTTCCCAGAAAAGGGTCTTATCACGTGCCTAACTTTTATATCCTCCTTATTCTTAGAATATAACAATACACTGTGACCTCCCCAAGTTCATGTTCTTCTTCCTTTTGGCTTATTTTTCTATTTCTAGTGCCTAGAATATTATAAGGCACATAGCAGGTGCTCAATAAATATTTGCTGAATGAGTGAAAGAATATGCTTATGAAATTTGAAGTCTTCCACACATTTATGGCGAGCACTAGATCAGAGTTTCAGTTCCTCATGGAGGCTGATCCTATAACTTGAAAAGAGGCAGGCTGAGATGTAGCTGTTGCTCACCACAGATATGGGCAACCAACAAATCCAAAGTACTCAGCAACCTTTTCAAATGACCCAGAGCAGGCCACTACCAAATACTGTAAAGTAGTAATCTTGGTTTCCTCTTGACTAGTGCAGGATGTTTATTTCAAATTTCAGCCATTTGTTGTGTAGCGTTCCAAGAAAGAAAACATGTAGGTCAAGAGGGAAACTTTATCTGTCGAATGTCTAATATGCGCTAAGCTCCATATTGGTCCCCACTCAGGTTTTACCTCATTTCATTCTGTCACCCGAGTTAAGGAAGTATTCTCCTCCCCATTTGACAGATAAGACAGCTGAGGTTCAGGGATGTTGCCTTCATTGCCCAAAGCTACACTCTTGTTCAAAGGGAGACGTAAATAAATAAATTCTCTTTTATTTATGTAGGAGAAGCCTGAGCAGTTAAGGTTTATAAAATCATCTTTAAACATAAGCTGATTTACATATTCGAACTGATGGAGCATACTCAGCAGGTAGTCTCAAGGGCGTGAGGGCAAATGACCTCTTTTCTCCATTTGGTCCCTTGGCCAAGGCTGTCATCAGCCAACTGCTCGTGTTACTCATAGTGAGAGTCACGTAATTTCAACCAGGAATACCCGGTTATCCTGTTACAGGAATGAGCCCCAGAGAGAAGAGAGCTGGTTCTAATTCGGCTCCGGGGCTGTGAGCTGAGGAGGTACAAGACTCCCCGTAGTTCCGTGGGGAAAGCAAGCAGTTCCTCCCACCCCACCACCTCTAAAGTGAAAGAAAGAGACTTCCTTTTCCTTTTTATCTGCGGCTTTTACGCTTCACTGAAAACATACCTTGTCCAGGAAATTCATCCCTGCCAAATATAAATAATTTGTATCCACACTGCCTCTCCAGCACCTCAGGCAGAATCTTCAATACCAGCGTGTCCACCTCATGGCTCTGGATTTCTCTTTGAGGCTTGGGGTATAAGACATAGGCATCATACAGCTTGCCATCTGAAAAGGAAATGGGATAAACTCATGGAATTATTCCTACCAAATTCTCTTATGTTAACAGAGCGAAAGTCTGACTTGCTACCATGATGTCCTTTTCCCTTGGGGTCAATGACTTCAGAGTACCCAGTTGGCTCTCTGGGAGCCAAGCATTGCCACACTAGGCCTCTCATTCTCTCGACTCTTTAAATATTTCACTTCATGCTCTTTTGCTTGCGTAGTTTCTGAGGACAAGCTGAATGCAACTCACATCTTTGTTTCACGATAGGTAAGGTGTTTTTTTTTTCCCTCTGGCTTCTTTCAGGATTTTTTTTCCTTACCTTTGATTTTCTGCGGTTTGAAAATGATATGCCTAGATTTTTGGTTTTTTGTTTATCCTGCTCAGTATTCTCTGAGCTTCCTGGATTGTGGTTTGGTATCTGACATTAATTCGGGGAAATTCTTAGTCATTAGTGTTTCAGATACTTCTGTTCCTTTCTCTCTTTCTTCTCCTTTGGTATTCCCATTACACTTATGTTACACCTTCTGTGGTTGTCCCACACTCTTTGGATACTTTGTTCTTTTCTTCCTCACCACCCCCATCTTTGTTCCTTTCGCTTTACAGTTTTGGAGCTTTCTAGTGGGATAAGCCTCAAGCCAGAGATTCTCTGCTCAGCCATGTCCACTCCACTAGTAAGCCCATCACAGGCAGTCTTCATTTCTGTTACAGTTTTTTTTTTTTTAATTGCTAGCTTTCTTTTTGGTTCTTTTTAGGATTTTCATTTCTCTGTTTACATCTCCCGTCTGTTGTGTGCTGTCTGCTTTTATGCGTTAGATCCCTTAGCATGCTAATCAGGGATGATTTAAATTCCCAGTCTGATAATTCCAACATCCCTGCCATTTCTGGCTCTCGTGTTTGCTCTGTCTCTTCAAACTGTGCATTTGCCTTTTAATATGCCTTATACTTTTCTCTGAGACCTGGATGGAATGTACCAGTAAAAGAAAATGGTATAAACTGGCCTTTAGTAACATGGTGGTGAGGTGTGGAGGGAGGGGACGTGTTCAATGGTGTTGTGATTAGATCTGTCTTTTAGTGACTCTGGACTATGAACGTCACAAGCATTTCTCAGTTTTGTATCCCCGCAGGATGGCTAGACTGGGCTGGAGTTGGCTATTTCCTTCTGCACAGGCCAGTTAGACTCCGATAATACCCTAGCGGGTAAGGCTTTCATTAACTAGTTTCTCCTGAGGGCAGGCCTGGTTAATAAGAACTGAGTGCTCTAGGATATTTCAGAATGATTTTTCTCCTCCCCCTGCTGGAAGCACAAAGAGATTTTTTTCTCTGATATTTACAGTCAGAACCAAGTCAGGCTTCTGGAGGGAAAACTCACAAAAGTGTGGGTTTCTACTGCTTATGACTGGGTCCCCTGAAGAATTTAAGTCTCAGATTTATCCACATTGAGCCTCCAGTGATTTGTCAGTTACAACTGGTATTCCTACCCCATTGGCGTTGACCTTTGAGGAAGGTGGTCCTATCCCCGTGACATAAGAATCACTTCTCCAAGGTCACCCAGCCCCAATTCCAACCTGACACCTTTGACTCTTAAGTCCACCAGTCCCCGTGGTGAAAATGAGAATTGAAAGCAAGAGTCTCCATCATTTTCACTCTTGATGGGTCCTGTGCAATGGCGGACTGTTGTAAACTGCACCAGGCAAAATGGGCCAAGTCTCTGTGATTCAGACCCACTAAGTGAATTTTGCCACTGCAATTGCACATGGCATTGTAGCGACCAAGCCTCTGAGCAGACTCCAGGAATCTGCTGTGCAGTACAGAGAAGTCCAATACAACAGCACATTTCGTCATCACCGGAATGAGCTAAGCATTTATTGAGCAACCAACCACAGGTAACAGTCACTGTGCTCACCCCTGGACAGATGACCAAGACGCAAGAGCTAACTGGAAAGACCATTCAGAGACTTGGAAATAAAAACATGAGGCGCTACAAGATCACATGGCTGAATGAACGGGAGAGACGGAAAGAAACAAAACTTCCCCCATAGCATGGAGCTCTTGGGGAAAATTCACAAAGGATGGAGGGCAGTTGCTGGATTGTAAAGGGTTTAGCAAAAACGGGAGGCGCTAGAGGTGGAGGATAAGGAGTCCAAGAAGGGGCAGAGCTTGAGAAGTGCATGGAAGGGGGATGCTTACGCTCTACTCAGGGGTCAGATGAATGAGTAAGAAACTCTAGCAGGGCTAGAAGGTTTGAGTGAACATCTCATTAGAAAATGTGATTTTTTTTTGAGCTCCAGGCTATTTGGAAATTCAGAGCGAACCTAATGGGACCCAAGAGGAAGCCATCCCTTTTTATTCCCTTTTTATGGAAGTTTGTTTGATTGAACAGACTTGAAAAGAAGGGTTGCTCTGAGCCCAAAGGAAGAAGGTAAAATCTTGTATACTTCTAGTTTTTGTCTAAATAATAGTACAGACGGTCCCTGACTTAGGAGGGTTCGATTACGATTTTTTGACTTTATGATGGTACAAAAGCAATACACATTCAGGAGAAACCATACTTCAAATTTTGAATTTTGATCTTTTCCAGGCTAGTGATACGCGGTCCTATCCTCTCTCTGATGCTAGGCAGCGTAAAAAGCCTCAGCTCCAACTGAGCCACGCAATCTCCAGGGTCAACAGTCGATACACTGACCATCTGACCATCTGTCCCCATACACCTGCTGTTTTCCACCTTCAGGGCAGTATTCAATCAGTCACATGAGACAGTCAACCTTGATTATAAAATAGGCTTTATGTTAGATGATTTTGCCCAACTGTAGGCTAATGTAAGTATTCTGAGCACGCTAAACGTAGGCAGGGCTAAGCTGTGATATTCTGTGGGTTATGTGCATTGAATGCATTTTATTTTATTTTTTTAAGATTGTATTTATTTATTTGAGAGAGAGAGAACACGAGAGAAGGGAGGGTCAGAGAGAGAAGCAGACTCCCCACTGAGCAGGGAGCCCGATGTGGGACTCGATCCTGGGACTCCAGAATCATGACCTGAGCTGAAGGCAGTTGCTTAACCAACTGAGCCACCCAGGCGCCCTTGAGTGCATTTTAACTTATGATATTTTTAACTTATAATGGGTTTATTGGGTTATAACCCATCATAAGTCAAGGAAGATCTATAGTTAAAATGTGTACAGAACTTTAGCGTTTACATTGTAGTCTTTTCCCATTCCATAAATTCTCACGCCAACCACCACTGACAGCCTTTAAGTCTCTGCCCACCATTCCCGGCCATCCTGTGGAAATGGTAATACACACACATGGGCACACAAGCACACTCACTCTTCCTCAGTCTCCCCACCCCCTGTCATGAAAGGAAGCCGTATGAGAATGGGGGCATTTTTTGGTGGGGTTCCACCCCCAGTGCCTGGAGCAGGACCTGACACAGAGGAGGTCTCTATCAGTAGTTGCCAAATGTCTGAATGGAGCTTGATTTTACAGAGGCTCAAGAAGGTTAAATCTATGAGGAGAGAGAGAAGTTTTAGATCATGAGCTGATTCAGCTTTTTAATAAATTGGAGTCATAAGGCAGGTACCAAAGGGATGATTAATTTGTGTTTGGAGTCGGCAGAAACCCAATCCAGCTAAAACTCCTCTGTAACGTCTTCAATATTACTAGTTTATACCACCACTCCATAAGTGGATATTTTTCTGATTTAAATTTAATGTCATATACATGACTTTCTAAAGCCAGGGGGCATATGAAAAAAAAATTTTTTAGGATTTCATAAAGGCTTTATGTTTTTAAACATTTTAAAAAGGATTTAAATGTCCTTAAAAATTTGATAATATTTAATCCCTTTATGATAAAGGGTTGGTTGGGTTGGCACTCTCCACATCACATAGCAGAGCCTCCCAAATGAATACAGTATTTCTTGGTCTGTAAACTACAGCAAACGTCCGCGTTCATCACCACCTCTGTCTGAAACCCTGCCACTGGTGTCTCTCTTCTCTCAGGCTGTTTCTCTTTCTTCCTTCTCATTGAAAAGCAAAGCAAAACAAAACAAAACAAAAACCTATGGTTGCTGAGTGAATTCTCTCTTTTGACTGTGTTCCACGTTCCCTGTTTTTAGGCGAGGTGTCTGAAAAGACAGGTGCTCCATGCTGGGCAAATGCAGACTCTGAGAAGAGACTTAGGCAGCAAGGGACTCTCACACCTTCTCGAAAAGCAAAATACAAAATGCTCCCAATTTTGGGGTCATCTTTTATTTTTTTCTTTCTAAGCTTTTGGGTAGTAATGTTACCTTTGTGGCTTGTTCTCAAAAAATGCAGGGGGTTCTCATCACTTCCAAATGATCAGTTCGTCCTTTATTCACCAGTCTAGCAAAAACATCAAGCTGAGGCCATTTTGCTTTTAGCCTCTGCCTGAGGTTTTGAAGGGCGCTCTCAGACAACTGCCTGCCGGCTTTGCCCATCACGGTCACGGTCATGGTGAGGGTTACGTTTGTATCCTCGGATCACGGGAAAGGGAGCTGAGACAGACAAGGCTATGTTATTTCTCGTCTTTGAGCTGCTAAGTGCATAGCCTTGATTCAAACCCAAGTCCACCACTCCCTCTGGTGTGGCTGAGACGAGAATCAGGAGGAGGAAACGTCACAAAGCATATACCTGATTAGTCCCTTTCAAGTGTGTCAGACTCCTTTTTTTTCAGAAAATAGCCCCCAGCAATACTTCCGGTTCCACATGCTCTTTCAGAACCGACCATACCTCCCCACAAAGAGGTGGACTCTATTTCCACTCCCTTAAAATTGATGAGGACTCTGTAGCTGCCCTGACAAATAGAATGTGGTAGAACTGACTCTATAGATTTAGGGTCTAAGTCGTAAGAGAAAATATGGCTTTTCCTGGCTCTCTTGTTCTTGAAACACTAGCCCTCAGAAGTCAATCACCATGCCATGAGGAAGCCCAAAGTAGCCCACACAGAGACCACCTGGAGAGGGCACTGGGGAGAGAAACTGAGGCCATCAACTGATAGCCAAAATCAACTGCCAATCCCCCAGCAGGGTTCCTAGACATCATGGAGCTGGGACAGGCCATCCCTGCTGTGCCATCTGACGTCCTGACCCACAGAACCCATCAGCAAAATACATGGTTGCTCTATGCTACAAAGTTTTGAGGTAATTTTCTTCCCAGCCATAGTAACTGTAAGAGCAGTTGGGTAGGTAACAATGAATGGCAATAGATAATGATGAATTTGACATGCCCCCCAACTGTTTATTTCATCCAGAGAACTGTGGAAATGTAGACCTACCAGTAAGTTTTCTAAAGAAAGGGCCTGTTAGCAGATACTCCCACAACTTGCCTTTATATGGTGGATAAACCTAGACAGTTTATCTAGGTTCTGGCCAAGCTCCTTTAATTTCCTGAAGACATTCAGCCCTAATTTTGTTGTTAAAACATCTGCATATGCCTTTATTGGCCGTTGGCAGAAATACAAAAGTTTATTGGGGTGTGTTAATGTTTATGAGAGATTGCTTAAAGATTATTCAACCCCTTACTTTCTTTTCTTAAGTTTCAAACCTAATCAAACTGAACCAATGGAAAAATCAGACAGAATCAATTTGGTCTTCACATAAGTGCTTTTACTTGATTGCATGAGGTTTGGCATTTTAGCCCTAGCATGGAAGACACTAGAAGAAAAGCCACATTCAACATGCTACTACATTTACCACAGGAATGTTGTTGTAGACAAGATTCACTATATTACACCCTTTAAAAATGAATACTCCCTACAAAAACTTTTCCTTGGAAAATTGTCCCAGACAAAGCTATGTGCTCTCATAAGCAATTGAAGCGCATTTGTGAACAGCACACAATGCATCTTGTCATTGTTTTTACCTTTACTTCCAAAGCCAACTCATCTTTAAAAAGTGTCCAAGATTTGTCATTAACTCTACCCCCAAGCTTTATTTTACCATTCTACCCTCTATTCACTATCTGTTTTTAATTGTTGTGTTCTACATGTATGTTCTCCACAAACCTATTTGGAAGGTGGTGAGACATATGCAAATCTCTCCAGATGTGTAAACTGGCCCTTTTATTTTTGTACACACATGCACACCCAGAAGGCGAATTTTTAAAGTAACTCCTATAATTTACTAGAGAACATACCGAACTCATGGATTAGGGCTGTTGATGACTCAACAAAACTGAGCTATACCTGTTACTCATGTTATAAAGTGTAACTCATCTAGTTGGGGAAATATCTTATCCTAAGAAGGACACAATTTGTCTATTTCTTCATTTGTATTTGCCACCCCTGACTCCACAGGTTCCCCCCAATAACTCAGAAAATATCTCCCAGGGACACAATGCTGGAAATAGCATCCGGGACAAATCTTAAGTCTCATCTCTAGCTCACTGTCAAAGCCAACACTCAGAGAGGAATTACAGGGGTCGTTGTCATAGATGGAGCTGCAGAGATTAGAGATTTAGTCATAAAGTACGCAAGTACTTATCTGAATTAAGAAAAAAAAAAGGAGGAGCCCTGGCTGACTGTGAGCCCCGATGACCAAATTCTCAGCCCGAATTTGGGCTGGAGTCCGGTCTCAGCAGAGGGTGGGGCTCCCTGAATCTGTCATCTGCTCAGCTCCCCTCCTCTGGGTGAGTCACTATTCCTTTTTTCTCTTCCTGCTAAACTCGACCTCACCCGCAGGCAGCTGCACCAGCCCTCGGCTCTCATGCTCCTGGGAGTCACAGTGAGTCAGGGAGTGAGACATGCACCCGGACCAGAGATCTGGGAACACCACTGAAGTCCCCGCAGCGTCCAGTCAGTCAGTAAATAGAAAGCAGGTGGACCGCTCACGTGCGTGTGTCAGAAAAGACAAGTGGTGGTGCACTGGTCTCCTCTGCCACATTCACAGACAGGAGCATAGCCACAGGGAGGCTCCAAGGGGACCCCACACCCAGCCGACGGGCCTCAGGACTAGAGGGGCTTCAAGTGGCATTGGACATGCACAGTTGCGTTTCCACGATTGAATTTGGCCCTCAAGAAAGAATGTGTTGCTTTCTACACTGCTCTGGGACTGCCAGTTTTGAATTCGGAAATTTAGCTCAGAATAAAGTCCAAGTTAGGACACCTGTTTTCTCAAACAGATGGACAACAACTTGTACTGTGTGTTTTATATGCAAAGCAGACCCTTGGTGTAAATAATGCCCTTCTTACTGGTGGGTACTCATAAAATGTGCTTGGACACCCACTTCCCTGAATTCCAACTCTAGTCCTCATCGCTAGTCTCTGGACCTGAATGGTGTAAATGTGGGTATTTCCATGTACGTGAAGCGCATAGACTTCTCTTGGTTGTGTATTAATTTTCCATCCAATCAGAGGACAGTAAGGCAGACTCATTATTTTTTTTCAAGGCTTTAAGAGATCACAACCATTCTGAGACAACAAGAAAACAGCACAGAGTTAAAAAACCACAATGGTTGGGGGTGGGGCACTTGGGTGGCTCAGTTGGTTAAGCGTCCGACTCCTGATCTCCGTTCAGGTCTTGATCTCAGGGTCATGAGTTCAAGTCCCGAATTGGGCTCCATGCTGGGCATGGAGCCTACTTATAAAACTAAAAGAAAAAGAGGGGCGCCTGGGTGGCTCAATCGTTAAGCGTCTGCCTTTGACTCAGGTCATGGTCCCAGGGTCCTGGGATCGAGCCCCGCATCGGGCTCCCTGCTCTGCGGGGGAGCCTGCTTCTCCCTCTCCCACTCCCCCTGCTTGTGTTCCCTCTCTCGCTGTCTCTCTCTGTCAAATAAGTAAATAAAATCTTAAAAAAAAAAAAAAAAAACTAAAAGAAAAAGAAAAAAATACCACAACGGTGGGAAGTGCCTATTGCTCAGTTTCAGGACGGTACTGAGGCGTTTGTGTGTTGAGATGTGTTGGCAGGACGGGAGCTCCACAGACCACGCTGAAACCTGGGGCAAAGGGGCAGAGGCAGCTTGCTTTGACCCTCAGACTACAGGGTGCCCCTTGTGCCCCACGTCCCTGCTCAGGGCTTTCCTGGACTTCAACTCAGTTGTTCCTACAATACTCTGTGAGGCAGGCTCTGATCATTTTCTCTCGCTCCCCAGTTCCTCCCTCTCCTTCCCTCCTTCCTACTTTCCTTCCTCTTCTCCTTCCTCCCTTCTCTTCTTCCTTGTTTCTTTTTTTCTTTCATTCTATAGTCAAGAAAGAGAAGAGCATGCAACACTTCCTAAGATCACATGGGAGTAAGGGGAGAACCAGATGCAAACCCAGGCCTCTCTCCAGCCTTGTGAGGCAGGGACTTAAATCTTTCAGGTCCCAAGTACAGGACCTAAAAGAGCTGCCCCCACAGGCAGCTCGTCTCTCTCCATCACGTAAACTCTGCTCATGCGCCCACCGTGCTGAAGATGTATCGCGGCTGGAGAGCCCTTTGTCGCTCTTGGAGAAATCGTCTTCTTTGGCAAACAGCAGTAGATGTGAGAACCTCTCTAAAACAGTCACAGTGGGACCCAGAAGATGACATGCTCCTGCTTCTTAGCAAAGATTTGCCCGGCCACGACTAGCCTGCAAGCCTCATTTGACTGAACAATGCTGGTGACCATGGACCAATGGTTTCCCTGAAGCATGAGAAGTCCAGGGAGAGTCCTTCCTCCCAATTTGCCAACAACATGAAAGGCAAGCTAGTAAAATATGATAAAGTGTATTTACAATGGTTATACGGATGAGCGGGTTATACGGATGAGCGGATGCCAAGTATGAGGCAATCTTCAGTGGTTACCCACGCTTACCTTCTTTGGTCCCGGTAGAATGGAAGGCACTTCGATACCAGAGTACAATGTCGATCTTAAAAATGTTGTAGAGGTACATGACAGACGCTGTTGCACCTACCAAGGCGAGAAGCCCTCCTATCAAGTAAGCTTGAACATTTGGAGCTACAAATGACAGCAAATAAAGATATAAACAAATAATAATGATAAAACAAAGAGTCAACTCTATGCTTTACTTATACAGATCACATTACAAATGCCAAATGGAAATGCGTTAGAGGTCAATGAGGATACCGCTTAAATATTTTTTTACAGTTAAATATAATAGGTATATGGGAGTAGAATAATCTGGTGTGGCCCATGAATTTCAGAAAGCAAATGTGCTCTTGGGAACCTGGGGAGGGAAATTCTGCAGAAGCCTAGCTCCTGACGGGGCTGGCTGGAGGGCATGAGGCCTGCTCTCAAAACACACACGGCCAGGTCTCACTGAAGCCAACTCTACTAGACTCTCCCGAGGTAGAGCCTTGAACATGTTTACTGGAAGACCTTTCCCAGTGGTTCTGTTGCACATTCCTGATTATTCCACTGTCATAACTGCTTTCATGGGCACTCAAAATTGAGCAGCAGGACACCTGTTATAAATAAAGAGCCATCAGCTGCCTCCCCTGAAAGCCAACTCTGTTGTCTCCCAAAGCCTGCCCTAGAGCCAAACTCCCCCCTCAACCTCTTTGTGCCAACAAGGTCCAGGCCGGGGGCCTGTCTGCAAGGCACAGTCTCCGAAAGGGCAGAAAGGGTGTCTATCCCTGCTCTGCTTTGCAAACACGCTGCAGAGCAATTATGGCAAAAGCTGTGGGTGGGAGATGACCAAGAAGCAGAACCAGTTCCCCTGGAATGTCAAGTCCCTGAAAACAGGCTCCTACACATCCCAGAAGAGGAACAGTACAGTCTGCTCCCTTACCACAGCCCAAAAGAGTGATGCCATGGAAGGAGGCTCTAAGAAGGAGAGAATTTGGAAGGAGGAAGAAGGACAAAGGAAGAGAAAGTCTCTCCATTCTTAGAATCCACCGCATACACCACTGCCTTCATCAGCCCCTTCCCTATGCTCCAGTCTCCACTAAAAGGTGTGTATGTATGTGTGTGTGTATGGGGGGGGGTAAAAGGGGAAATTCTCTTTTCTGTGAACCCCCCAGAGCACATTCATTTTTTTTAAATACTCCCTAAGGAGTTTATCATGACCTGCCCTATGTCACACCATGTTGCAAACAGTTTGAGGTCCAAGACATCCCTATGCACTGCTGTATGTCTTTAAATACAATAAAGCACAATAACTAAAACACATTCTGGGTCAACAGAAATAGCAATGCATTGATTAAGTCCCAGCACAACCAAGTGGATCTGCTCTGCACGCAGGTGCCCAATCTGATCCTGACCACCTGTTTGAGCCTCTAGCTTCTATTAGATGGATTCGCCCTTCCCTCCCATCTTTCCAATTCTCTTTGTCCTTCCCCAGATCTTGGAGCAACAATGCCACCTCCCACTTTGGGAGGTCCCAGGTCTGGGAAGCTGTAATGTATAGACTTCAGGGACCTTGGTACTGCAATGGTCACGATAAGAAGACCATGCCCTGCAATATTTATGAGATTCATAAAGCCCCTGGTAAGTAGACAGGAGTGATGGCTGGCAGTTCTTGAGTTCGTCACTCATTGCCTTCAGGAGCATTGATCCCCTGCTCTGCTCTGGAAATGAGTTTGAAACCAACAAATTCCACACAAGAAATTAATGCTGAGTTTCCCTACTGAATACCACTCTGCTGCCTCACACCAAGTGTCTCCTTGTCATCATTTTGAACCTCCTGAACAGCGTGTACCCCACCAAACCATTACCTGGGAGTTTTAAAATAAAATATGCCGCTGACACTCCGGCGTGACAAATGAAAGGATGACCATAATCTTCCATTTTCACTTCCAAGAAAGTTATGTTCACTGTGTAAAAAATATGTTTCTGGAAAGAAATGTGGGATCTGTGAAAGAAAGGAACCAACCATTTATACATGAGGCATAGTTACCCAGCATAGTGTATCATCTTCAGTCTAGAGAATAAAATTCTCTCTCTGGAGAACACTTCAGGCCATCACAGTTACCCTGGGAATGCTTCACGGACTAGCTCGGTGAGGTGCGTGAGTCGTGGCCCTTCCGGATTTGCATTTTCTTCTGGACGGCGACAGACGGCATCCTCAGCCCTCCAGAGCCTTCCGCTGGTTGTCTCCACATAGGCTCACTTATCTACCCTGCAGGGCCCAGCATCAGTTCTTCCGCCCTCGCACTAGTGAATCTTGCTTTATGCCACCCAATTTATACCACCACAAATTGGGTTTCTACCACGCAATTAGTGCATGATTAAGCCCTGTCTCCCCCAAGAGTCCCCATGCTGCTCCCTGCTTTGCTACTGGAGCCTTGAAGATCTATGGCTCATGATATAACAAAATCGGAAGGAGGCTAGTTTTAAGGACTAGCTGAGAGAAATGGATTTTGTTGTGTGAGTCCCGTACTTGATGTGTTGCCTCATCTGTCTAACTAGGATGTGGGAATGTTGATAAGATGAGCCCCTCACACTTCTCTGAAGCGGAGGTAGCCCTGCCGAGCGCTGAGGAGATCTTTGAGAGACAAAGCCAAAAGGAGTGATGAGGGCTCAGTGAGAAGCATCTAAAAAAAGTAGTACTAGCGCCAAAATAATGTAAAGTGAGGAAATGCTTGTCGGTTTTTAGGGAAGGCAGAAAAACACAACACCTACTCGGATCCTTCTCTGATGCGTTTGGATTCACTGTAGTAATCATCCACCAAGGTGTTATTGACTCTCCAGCATCGGAGATTTGTATTATCCCTTGTGTCTGTGATATTGCAGTCCACAGTAAGGGGAGAGCCTATAAAATCAAATTTATAAATGTTACATGAAAAGCCTACAAAAAAGTGATCAGCTGGACAATATCCTTGAATATCTTTTGATTACCAAAAATTCACCCTGGAGGTCAATGTTCCTCTACTTTATTCTCTCCCTGGACAGAGATGATAAGGGACAAGTTACCTTCCAGAGTGTCTACTGTACAGAGATATCCATGTGATATCCAAATACCACCAGCTTCTGGCCAATGCCCTCCCCAATATCAGGGACACAGATACTACCACCAGTCTTAGGAAACTTAACAAAGAACTTTGCAAAGTATTTCACAGCTTAACAATAACCCACAACCCTCGGACCAAGTATTTCACACACATTGTCTTCTTCAGTCTTCCTATCTTCAAAACAATCCTACAATCAGGAAAGAGGAGGTAATGCCCATTTTACAAATGAGAACGCTGAAGTTCAGAGAGGCTGGTGACTTGCCCAAGGTCACACATGAGAGCAAGAAATGAGACACGAACGCTGGTTTTCTATTTCCAAATCCAGTAATATTTCTACTTCACCAATCGTGACCCCTCTCCTGACTCCACCACACACATTCACAAATTATTCATAATTTTCTATTTTTATTTGATTTTTCTATTTATTTTCTATTTTTATTTGATTTTGTTCCACGAGCCTAATATATCCCATCTATTTACTCTACATAAAAAATTACTTTATTCCTACACAGTCTACTTCATGTTTCTTTATGCTAGGTGGAATTTATTTCTTCTAATTTGGTTTTTTTTGAAAGATTTTATTTATTTATTTGAGAGAGAGAGAGGGAGAGAGAATGAGAGAGATCACAAGTGGGGAGGAGAGAGAGAAGCAGGCTCCCCATGAGCAGGGAGACAGATGCGGGGCTCAATCCCAGGACTCTGGGATCACGACCTGAGCCGAAGGCAGAAGCCCAACCAACTGAGCCATCCAGGCGCCCCTAGGTGGAACTTATTTTTTAAAAAATCATGAACTATAACACATGTATAGTAAAAAGTATAGAACATAAATGTAAAGCACACATCCATACCACCTTCACCCCGTCAGGAAAACAACATATTGCCGGAACTCCAGAAGCCTCCCACGTTCCCCTTGCCTACTTTATACTTTATCACTTATGCATTCACTCTTGAACTGTAGCTTCTGTTGCCCGCATTTTGTTTGTGATGCTGATCCGTGCTGCTGCATGCAGCTGACTCCCTTCAGATAGGAGAATGCACTAGCACTTGTTTATTTCTTGTACAGCTGCTATGCACACATCTGCATTGTTGCAGTGTTTGCCTCAATGCATAAGGCTGCTGTGAGCTCTCCGCTGCATGCCTCCCGGGGCACGGTCCACACCTTTCTTGTATACACACCCGTGTACGTGACAGTACACGTGCCTCTCTATCTACCAGTAAAACCGGTAGATCTTAGGTTATGCTTATCTTCAACTTTAAAGGAGATGCCGAATTGTTTTCCAGCGCAGTTGTACCGATTTACCCTTCCACCAGGAGCGTGGGAGAGCACCTGTTACTTTACCTAACTCAGCAGTATGTGGTGTTGTCAGTCTATTTATTTTCACCAGCTCGGTGTGTGTTGGGACATCACACTGTGGATTGAATTTGCATTGCCCTAGACTGCACTGCCACAGCACATTTTTAGACCCTCACTGGCCATGTCAATACCCTCTGTTGTAAACTCTCACAGCGGTCTGTCTTGCCTTCTGGTAGGTTGACTTGTCTTTCAATAAACGGAAGTTACTATGTTTACCGTAGTCGTACTTACCAAATTTTACCTCAAGACTAGTCATTGACTAGCATGTGTTTATTTTTTTTAATCTTTCCTTACCCCAAATCATGAAGGATCTTTTTTCTAGAAATGCATCATTTTGACTTCTTTAGATCTACAACTCATTGGAAATTATTTTTATAAATAGTGTGAGAAAGGGGTCAGGTTTTTATTTTATTTTGTATTCCATCCCATTATCAAGTTCCATTTATTGAAAAGGTCACACCTTCCCCAGAACAGTGTCAACCTTGCCAAAATCAAGTGTGTTTTATGGTGGATCTATTTCTGGGCCTTCAATTCTAACCCGTTATCTATCCTTGCATCAGAACTACACTGTCTAAACCACGGTAGCTTTTTAATAAATCTTGAAATCTGGTGGTACAAATCCCCTCAGCTAGTCCTTTTTCATTAAAAGTGTCCTGACTATTATTCAGTCTTTACTTTTCCATACCAACATTATAATCAACCTATCAAGTTCAGCAAAAACTAAAATCTGTTGAGACTTTGGCTCTCCCTCAAAACAAAGGACATATGTTTAATAGTTCAGTCTTGTGTTGTTTCTTCTAAGGGCTTCTAAAAATAGATTTTTAAAAATCAGATTAGGGACATTCCTTTACATTCCTAGTTTTAAAAGTTGTTTTTTTTTTAAATAATAAATTCCTAGTTCAGGTGTTCTAAGTGACTTTGCTGTATCTATGAATGTATTTTTTCTTCTTTAGTTTGTTAATGTAAAATAAAAGGAAGACTTACCTAATATGAAGCAACTTGGCATTGCTTCACGCAAGCCCGAGCCGCAATGTATCATCCTTTGGGTATGCCGATAAAATAAATTTGCTAATAATGTGCTTAAAATTTTTCATCTGTGTTGAGGAATGAGACTGGCCTGAAATTTCCTTGTCCTTGCTGGGTCTGAGTGTCAAGATTTTCCTGACCTAATAAAATGTGTTAACGACGATTTCTTCTTTTTCTACTTTGTGAAAAAATTTGTTTAAATCCGTCAAATTTCTTTATTAAATGCTTTGTAGAGTTCACTAGTAAAGCCAAGTGCATCTAGAATTCTGTTTGTGGTAAGATTTTACATTTCTGGTCATATGTCTGTTCTGAAATCTGTATCTTCTTGTGCCAGATCCTTTGTGCTGATTTTTATGGAAACTGCCCATTTCTTTTAGATTTTCAAATTGTTTGGCACTAGGTTTTCCAGAATAATTCTTTTATGACCTTTTTCATGTGTATATGATCTATGGTGATGGCCTCTTTTTCCTTCAGATTGTGCCTTCCCTCTTTTCCGAATCATTCAGGGGGTTAGCAATCACATTCTACTTTTCAAACAACGAACTTCTTTCTCTGTTCATCACTCAATTGCATGTTCATTTACTATTTCACTATTTTCTGCTATTACTGCTCACCTCATGTCTTCCATTTCTGTTGGATTTATTTTGCTTCTCTTTTTCTGTCTTCAGCGGTGAGCGTGCAGCTCATGGATATTTCAAGTAGCTTCCTTTTCTAATTCAGACTATCAAGTATGTTCTGATCAAATCTTTGTATCCCACCAACCTCGGTGTAATCTTTTCATGAGTATTCATTGTCAAATTATTTTTTGATTTCTATTTTTATCCATGGGCTATCTGGAGGGACTTTTATTTGACTGTTTTCCAACCTATGCAGTTCTTCTAATTGTCTTCTTATTGCTTATTTCCAACTTCAGTGTCTTATGGTCTGAGAATATAGTTTATATGATTTCAATCTGTTGGATTTTATTGAGACTAGTTTTATAACCCAACATATGGTGGATTTTATTAAACATTTCTTTTTTTTATTTCTTTTTAAAGATTTTATTTATTTGAGAGAGAGCAAGCACGAGCTGGGGGAGGGGCAGAGGGAGAGGGAGAAACAGACTCCCCGCTTGAGCAGGAAGCCCCATGTGGGGCTCAATCCCAGGACCCTGGGATCATGACCTGAGCTGAAGGCAGACACTTAACCACTGAGTCACCCAGGTGTCCCTTTATTAAACACTTCATTGTGCTTAGAAAGAATGTGTAATCTGTAGTAGTTGGGCTCAGGGCTCTATAATATGAATATTAGGCCATTTGTTGGGCACATTTTGTTTGTCGTGATAGGGTGTTCTGTTTGCTTTGTTCTACCAGCTACCTTGCAAAGTGTCATTATTATTATTCCATTGTTAGTATGGACTTACTTTCTTCCGTAATCCTGAACTAACTCTCTCTCTTTCTGCACGTGTACACACACACACACACACACACACTTCTAAGGCCATGTTATTATGTATCTACAGGTTCACCAGTGAACTTTTAATCATTACAAAGTATCTCTGTGTGCCTCTAATAATGCATTCTGCCTTCAGATCTACTTTAATATTAGTATAATTATACCAACTTTATTTTGGTTAGTGTTTATAGCATATACCATTTTCTAGTCTTTTCTCTTCCAGCATCTTGTAAACAGCCCAGAGTTTTGATATCTTCTTTCAAATCCAGTATGACAATCTTTATTTGGAGCATTTAGTCCAGCCTGTGATTGGTGATATACATACGTTTAAATCAACTATCTTATATATGTATATTTTTTATTTGTAGCATCTGTCTTATATCTGTCTTTTCCTTCTTGCTGTCTTTTGATTCCTTCTTTTGGATTCCTTCTTCCTTCCTCTTGATTATTTTTTATTATTCCATATAAGGCTGTATTTTTGAAATTATTATTACTTTAGTGTTACCCTAAATATTAAAGCATAGATCCTCAAACTTATCAAAATCTGATATTATTGATTATTTCTATTGTCTTCTAAGAGAATGTAACGTATTAGGATGCAATTGCATTTAACCTTCTCCCAGCAGACAGGCAAATGCAGTTGTGAATTCTAATTTCATATATATTTTAAACTCCATGAACAACCGTCCTCATTATTGCCTCATTCAGTCAAGATTCATTTGGATTTATTCACATATTTATGCCAACATTCACTCCTTCCTTCCCTCCTACAAAGCTGATTCACGATCTAGAAACATTTCCTCCTGCTTAAGGAACACTGTAGTAGCTCCTTTAGTGTAAGACTGTGGTTAGCAAATTCTGTCATTTTTAGTTTGTCGTATTTTCACTGACTATAAAATTAGCATTTTTTTTCAGCAGACAACCTCCATTATTTCCATCAAAAATTCAAACAGTGAGCTTACTGTTGCACACAGAGGATTTTTTTTTCCTTTTTTCCCTAACTTTTAAGATATTTTCCTTTGTTTTTCTGCAGTTTCACTTTGGTATTTCAAGGTATAGGTTTGCCTTTATTTGTCCTGCCGAGGTCTCCTTAGCTTCTGGCGTCTTTGGATTAATGTGTCTATCAGTTTGGAATATTCTCAGATTATCACCTAAATAATACTGCCTCTGCTCCCATTTTCTCTTTTCTCTTTCTTCTGGGATTGCAATTACATACATGTTAGCTCTGGGTATCCTCTCTCTCTAGCCTCTGTACTTCCTATTCTTCTGTCTCTTTGTGCTTAATCATAGGCATTTCCTCCTGACCTATGTGTTTTTGTTCAGTAACCCTTTTTTCAGATGTCTCATATGCCATTAAACCCTTTATTGAGTTTTTGGTTTGGGTTACTGTACTTGTCAATTCTGATATTTTATTTGTTCTTTTTCTAATCTGATATGGTCCTTTTTATTTTTATTTTTTTATTATTTTTTAAAATTTTATTATGTTATGTTAGTCACCATACAATACATCATTAGTTTTTGATGTAGTGTTCCATGATCCATTGTTTTCGTATAACACCCAGTGCTCCATGCAGTACGTGCCCTCCTTAATACCCATCACCGGGCTGATGTGGTCCTTTTTAAAAAGTTTGCAGTTGTCTTTTGAAAACGGCAATCATGTCTTTTCCTTTCTTGCATATAATAAGCAAAATTAATATCTATCTATCTATCTATCTCTGGGGCCCTGGGGGTCTGTTTCTGTTATATGTGGTTTACCATCTAGAATTTACTGAGTCAAAAGTTATTTGTGAAGGTTCTGAATGCATATTGGCATTTCCTTCTACAAAGTTTATACCAGTCCATTCATTTATTTAGCTATTTAGCAACTATTTCTTGAGCATCTGCTTTGTCCTAGAAACTGTTCTGAGCACTGGTGATATAGGAAGGAACAAACCAGACAAAAAGCCTGCTCCTAAGGAGCATTGATTCAAATAGAATTAGAGACACCAGGACAAAATATGTGAGGTAGTGATAAGTACTTTACCAAAAATAGAGAGAGCTCAGGGGATAGAACATGATGGTGAGTGAGGTGTGCTACTTTTTGTTTTTTAAGATGTTATCTATGTATTTCAGAGAGAGCAAGAAAGAGAGCATGAGCAGAGTGAGGGGCAGAGGGAGAAGTAAGCTCCCGCTCAGCTCGATGTGGAGCTCAATCCAAGGACCCTAAGATCATGACCTGAGCAGAAATCAGATGCTTAACCATCTGAGCCACCTATGCACCCCAGAAGTGTGCTGTTTTAATGTGGTGGTCAAGTGAGATGACATTCATTGGCGACCTGATGGAAGTGAGAGAAGGGACCATGGAGCTGTGTGGGGAAGAGCATTTCAAATAGAAGGAACAGCAAGTGCAAAGTCCCTGAGGTGGAGGTGTGCTTGGGATGTTCAAGGAACAGCAAGTATACCAGGGGTATCAAGTGTGAGCTTACCAGTGTGAGCACTGGCAAGGGGAAGTCAACCATGGAAGGCCATGTTGGGAATGCAAGGACTTTGAATTTTATTCAAGTGAGTGGGAATTTAATTCACTGAGTGAGATGGGAAACCATTGGAGAGCTTTAAACACAAATGTTTTAAAGGGAGTGCTCATATTCATAGCCAGTAATGTATTAGAACACCCTCTATATTATCCTTGCTAATATTTGGTATTTACATTTTTAATCCTTACCAATTTCATAGATGCATATCATTTTTTGTGTACATTTCTTTCATTGTGGATGAATATATTTTCATATTTTGTTAGTCTTTTTTTTTCTTCTGTGAATTATTCATTTGCCTCTTTTGGATTATTCCTTGTCCTTGATTTGTTGGTATTTAATGATATTACCTGTTTTTTGATGTCTCTGTTCCAAACATTCTCTCCTAGTTTGTGATTCACATTTTCACTGTACCATTTTTCCTGTATACAGATAGTTACAGTTTTTATGTGAGTCTAATTTTTAATCTTCTGTAATTTCTTCCACCGATTTTATGTGTAGAAAGTACATCATCCTGAGGTTAGATATAAATTTATCTCAGTTTTTAATGGTACTTCTGTGGGTTTATTTTTATATGGAGTTCTTTGATTCATCAAAAATGTATTTTTATGTCTGATATGAGGTAAAGAATGAAATACATATTCTTCACATTTAAAAAGTTACACTAATATCACACATATACTATATCTCTCTCTATGCATTTTTAAATGCCACAAATCTTTACCAAACTGTTGTATATTGTAGGATATGCTTATTATTTTCCATTATGTTGCTTTAATCTTTCTATTTGTATATAAATACCAGTATTTACGTACTGTTGCTTTATAATTAAACATACTTTACTATTCACTAGAAAAGATCTCTATTTCTTCTATTCAGTTATTTTCTTGCTAATTTTTCCAACATTTTTCAACATGAATTTTTAAAATGCTTTGTCAAGTTTTAGGACATTCAATGAAATTTAACTGGTTTTATATTAAATATGTGTATTAATCTGCCCTTAGTGATTTCAATGGCTTTGATAATTTTACTCACCAAGTTGTACTTCAATTGAATTGTTTTTTGGATAAATGATTTTAGGAATTCTTCCTGCATATCCATTTGTTTCTGCTAAGAAATCATACCCACATGAAATTGCATTAGAATCATATATGATACATTCCCACCTATTTATCCAATGACAGTGCAAAGAAAACATGGCACTGAGCAGGCCTTTAATAAGCATGAGTCAAGGAAAGACAAAAAACTCATGGCGTGATAAACTACCACTTCATAAATGCATATTTTTAAGCCAGAAATAATTGAATGCTAAGGGAAAACCCTAAAAGCTGGGCTACCAGGAGAGTTCGCTTCGCCGTTCTATACTCGGTATAAATATAAACTGACGAGATCGTGTAATAAAATCTTATTACCTAATAATCCAAATACAGTTTGTAAACAGTGGCTCTAAGCCAAGCTCCGTTCTAGGTCCCAGATAGAGAGAGAGCATGAGCCAACGTTTTATCTTCGGTCCCGCTGCTCCATCCTCCATCCCTGCTTTTCCATATTCTTTACATCCTGTCCTCTTCTGTCCTTCCTCGGCTCTTCCATTCCTTCACCCTGCTGTAAGACTGCCTTTCCTCGTGTTGACTTCCCAGCCCTCTGTTTTACTCCACTTCTTCCCTTCCTTCATTTGCCCACCAACATCTAGCAATCACCTACCTAGCTCCACATCCGTCCTCTATATTTGGGGTGGGATGCAGAGACATTACAAGAGGGAAGCTAGGAAAATGCAAAAACATGTGTCCTGTATAATGACAATACTATGTGCACATTCTACAAACGATTCGAGTTCAGTGCGTCCCAAACAGAGGTCATCACGGGCCAGTGATGTACCACTCTGCACTAGATCACACACAGCTCAACTCTGGAAGTCACTCTAGGCAACAGCTCTTCTCACCTCTTCAAATTATCAATCATGAGACCAAACTAATTTCAGCTCTTAACATTTCTCCGTGTGCGCATCCTTCTTCATGGCTAAACCCTCTATTTTCCACTCTCTGGTCTTTCATTTGTGCTCTTATTCATATCCACTTCTTCCATTACCATCTAAAGGACAAGGACTTTGAAAGTTGCATCTCCAGACCTTTCTCCAGACCAGGACCAGGCCAACTTGATATCTCCACAGGGGCACCTCCAAGTACTCAGCTTACCCATGACCAAACTCATGATCTCACTCCTAAATCCAGTTTTCCTCCAGAGTTACACTATTTCGTTGAATAGTATCATCATCTAGTCTGTTGCATATGCCAAAAGGCCTAGCTCCCTTAACTTTGCCTCATCCCTTATCCCATATTCAATCCAACACCAACCCCTGTGGGATTTACCTCCTCAGAAGCCTTGAATCCATCCACATGTATCCATCTTCAGTGCCACCATGTTGCCTGTGCCTACCTGATATCTCACCTGCATTTCTGTACCTGCCTCCTCCCTGCCACTCCTAACTCTATAGGGATCGTTCTGTGCATGGCAGCCACACTGAGCTTTCTGGAATGTAAGTTACATCATGCCACTCTCCTGCTCTCAATCCCTCTGGCTGCGTACCACTGTTCATAGAATAAACTCCATACTCTCTGCTTTGGATTGCATGCTCCTACCAATTCTTGGCCCTGATTACTTCTCCAGCCTCATTGCCTCACATGACCTCCCCACTCAGCATTGCTCCGGCCCCCCTGCCTACTTCCCATCATTCACACATACCACGGTCTATTTTGTCAAAGGGCTCCTTCAATCTGGAAAAATCTTGCCCACTCCATCACGCAGTTAATGCGTCCTGACCGGCAGCGTCACTATTATCAAGAAGCTTTCCCTGACCCTCTGCCTTCTCAACAGGTCCTTGTCTGTTCGGTCTTATACTTTCCATTCCTTCATGGCATTCATCTCCTTGATTATTACACGACTCACTAGCAGATTATCTGATTTATCTCTGCCTCCCTTCCCTGCTCAGACTTCAAAGCTCCATCAGAGTGGTGATCATGGCGGCTTTCCTCCTTCTCTCTACAAAGTGCAGAACCTGGCCTTATTAGGCACTCAGTAGAGAGCCACTAAATTACTGCCCGAAGAAGAATCCCCTGCCACTTCCACTCAAGTTCAGATTATCAGCACTCTTATCAATACTGGGTATTGCAGCAGCTGCCAAAGTGGCCTACAGGCTTCAAGATCCTCCTCAACTCTTGCTCAACCATCTCAAGACTGGTCTTGTCCATCACAAACACAGCCTCATTGCTCTGCATCCAAGGGCTCTTCAGGGGCTGCATGGTAAAGCCTACATGTAATTGGCCCCCTAAACCTTGACCCTATTTAACTCCATGGCCCCAGCTCCCACCACTCCTTACCTCATGCTTACGTTTGCTCTAACAAAATTAGTTTTAGGTCCAATACAAACTATGCTGGTAGACACTGCTATGCTTTGTCTTATAGTATTCTCTCTGCTCTACATCACTCTTCACTTTTATAAATTTGATTCATCCTTCAAAATGCAGCTGAAAAGCCATTTCCTCTTGGAAGCCTTCCAAGACAATTTACTTGCCACCCCTGTGGCTAATTCTGATTCTTTCCCTGGTCCCCCAGACACTATCTATAACTCTATTTATAACTCTATCCTTACTACATAATGTGAAAATGATTCATTTATATCTCTAACTCCACTACCACCAGGCTGAGAGCTTCTCAATAGAAGAAATGATGGGTTTTTTTTTTTTTTAAGTTTTTAGTTATCAGGTTCCAACAATTGGGGCATATACTAGATCATAAATAAGTGCTTATTGCAACGACATGAAATATAGACTACTGAACTCAATGACCTCTTGAATCCCTTATGGGATTTACTTGAGGTAGTCTTCATTTTGCCTTTCAAAGAATTCCTCCAGCTACCAGTGGAAAACTAAGCATGATAAGTCATCAACCATTCAGTTATTAAATGGGTCTGTGCCTAGTCTAGTCCAGGGGCTAGGTGTGGGAGATTCAACTGTGAACAAGACAAAGATCTTCTTTGCCTACATCTGGAGAGATAACAGGTAACATAAAACCCAAGAGCATAAAAATCATGAAATGTGATACAATTAATTTTCTTAATTAAAGAGTTCTGGGTGGGAAGCAAGAAGCCACCCATGCTGGACTCATGCCCCAAGAGAGCCACACCATCGAGAAATTGTTAGGTACCACCCAGTACAATGAAATCTGACAGACATGATGGTCCAAGTCAAAGAAATATTCAGTTTTCAGTTCTTTCCATTTAGATGAGTCAACATAGAAGACAACTGTCTACTGACAAAGGAGCAAAAGGCAACGTAGCAAGAACTCCTTGCTGAATGTGTTGAGAAGAAATGATGTTCATCTGGGCACCGCAAGCCTTTGTCCTGGCCCTGTTTCTGTCACTAACCAGCTTTGTAAGCTTCCTAAGTCACCCCCTCCTGGGTCTCTATAAAATTAATGGCTTAAGCTAAACTATCTTTAGGGTTCCTTCTACCCTGAAGATTCTGTTTTCAACTCCAGGTCATATGTTCAAGCAAACTGGCTGCTCTGGGTTGAGAGCTGATGCCCCACGAACATCAAGTATCCTGGAGCCCAGTTCAGAGACCTTGAACTCTGCATGCCCTGGGCGGGGGGCGGGGGGGGGCAAACCTGGAATGGCCCACCAAAGTAGTCACACCAATGATGGCTGAAGGAAATAAGAGTAACAATAATATCTACCACTAGATGAACACCTATACTTTGCCAGGCACCCCAGTACCCACTTTACATACATGCTCTCATTTAATTTTCATACCAAGAGTGTTAGGGATTCTGCTTTTCCAGATGAGGAAATGAAACTGCTCATGCTTCTTGCCCTCTTCTTTCTACCCTCTGATTCTAACAATGGCAAGTCTGAGAGCCTGCAGACCCTCAAAGAAATCAAGATCAGGAATCACTGCTGCCCAAAAAGCCAGCCATCTCGCGCAAAGCCAAGAGGAAGCCAAGGCGAGGGATATGAGCATACTTACCAATATTCACAGTGATGCTGTTTAAAACGGTGTACTGTTTCCCTGTGTGTGTCAGTCGGGCTTGACACGCATAGCTCCCTCCGTCCTCTGCTGAAACATTGCTCACTGATAGCTTTGTTTCCCAGGAAATAAACCGTTCTCCTTTAATCTCTTCACAGCCCTAAATACAAAAATATATGTACATACATAAATTAATTCAAAGAGTATTTTGGTGTATCAGTTACATTTCTAGTTAGCACCATCCTATGAACCGCGGGGAGATGCAAGAAACGTAAGTGATCCCCAGGGTAACTTATAATCTAACTGAAGATGATATCTTTATCTATAGATATCAATAGGTAGATAGAAAAATAGATAGACAGATATCTATAGATTTGACAAAGAATATGTTACAGGTTACAGTGAGTACTATAAATATTAAGTCTAATGGAAGTTGAAAGGAAAGAGGCCTACGTGAGCTAGAAGGCAGACCACACAGAGGAAGACTGCATGGGCCCACAAAGGAGTGTGGTAGGAGGGTGTGAACAGGCAGGAAAGCCCTCCACCTACAGGGGCCTATATCTCCCAGTGGACCACCATCTCATGGCACCAAGGCCCTATGCCAAGACTGCAAGCCCAGGTGGTTAATGACTGCTTCCGCTGTGTTCCAGGGCCAAATACACCTTCTCCACCTATTGGGTCAGACTTTACAGAGGTCCAAAATAATTCTTCAAGAACATTCTGCTTGGAGGCCTGAACAACAGTCAAAGTATGCTGGCTAGGCTTGTGGGCAGACGTCACGTAACTTGTTACATCACCCTTGCTTCCACTGCATCAACAAGAACAACCTCATGCCAAACCAACTTGAGGCCTGGTTAGTCTCAAGAATGCCTTTCTCACTTGTCATCCTCAGCAACCACTCCCAGGGTAGACCTCACCATCCACTGGGCAGGACACAGTCAGCAGCTCGCATTCCCGTGCTCCTTCCATCTCATAGACCCACTTCTGAACTCTCTCAAAACTTTTCCCCCCTCTCTCAAAACATTTCTTTGGTGGGGAGCCTGGGTGGCTCAGTTGGTTAAGTGACTGCCTTCAGCTCAGGTCCTGATCCTGGAGTCCCGGGATCGAGTCCCACATCGGGCTCCCTGCTCAGCGGGGAGTCTGCTTCTCCCTCTGACCCTCCCCCCTCTCATGCTCTCTCTCTCTCATTATCTCTCTCTTAAATAAATAAATACAATCTTAAAAAAAAAGTTTCTTTGGAAAGTGCCCCTCTACAGAGTGAGTTATTGGATTATTGAGGCTGCTTATTCATTCAAGCATTCAGGTTTCTGCTCTTTGCTAGGCTGTGAGAGGCTCTGTCATGCAGGAATAAGATAGAGTCCCTGTCCTTAGAAAGCTCACAATCCTAATATAGAAGACAAACTCATAACCCCTAATAAAAAATTTAATTGCCCAAGTGTCCAGCTCTCTCATCACTGAGTCAGCTGTAGCTAGCTCAGCGTCAGAGCCCATTCATCACCACTGGAACAGTGTGAATGGATCCACCTTGGAAGAGGAAACGCAATCATGCCCAAATGAGCATTTGTTTATTCATGATGCGAATTTCTAGAAGTCTTACATTATTCCCTATTTGGGAAACCCGATTATAATTGGACAATTGCTTACCAAGTAGAATGGGAATTACTAGTAAGAGTCAGATGGGCGAAGGCATCAGATTCCAATAATGTGGTGCCACCTTCTTTAGAGTAGGGACAAACAAAAAGCATTGAGTCCTTGACTATGAAAACTTCTCTGGAGAGAGCTTGGAGAGGGGCAATCCCTGGGCCTCCCCTTCTATCTATGTTTCCATCATTGACCAGTCCCTTCTGATCAACTCATTCTTTCTCTCAAGATGTACAAATATTTAATCATATGAAAACCCAGCCTTGATAGCTGAAGAGCCATTCTGTCCCTTTATGGTAACTAAAGCTGCTTCTACTGTGATCCACCACAGCATCATTTTAGAGTTTAAATTCTCAGAAGGCCTTGATTTTTATTTAAAAATTTGTGGGCGACGTCTCATTAAGATTTAAAGTTAAAATATTAATACCAATAGCAGCCAACATTTTAATATATTTTGTCTTTCAAGCACCAAGAAGAACACTTTTGACTCAGCATGGACATGGGCTGGAGACATAAAATAGCCCAGGGCATTCTGGTTAAGGTGCAGGGCTTACAGGAGATGATGGAGATAGAACAGGTCAGGCAGCCAGGGGCCCAATCCCAGAAGACGATGAAAAGGGGATGAACACTGAAGCTTTTCCAGCAAGGGAATAACATGATTCCATTTGCCTTTGAGAATGATCTCAGCAAATATAGATTTAGCACAGTGGCAAAGCAGAAATCAATATATTGGGGAGTAATTTGGAATTGGAAAAAAAAAAAAACCTGGGGACATCACTGCATTTCCAAATGTGAATACTTCACTATCTATGAGAATGGATATTTTAATACCTGAACCTTGTCCTCCATAACACCTCAATTTCAAGGACCACCTCTATACTCCTCTCCATCTCCAGTTCTCCCACCTACAAGCTGGACTTTGTCACGATCCAGAACTGCTATGTCTCCAAATTCCCAAAAACATCTATACCATTCTGATCGTCATTTCTTATGATTCCTTCTCTTCCATTCCTTTATTTTCACCAAATAATAATACCTGATATTTATTTATCAAGTAATTACTATGCATCCACGCTGAACTAAGGGCTAATGGATGGATTATTTCATTTACTCTTCAAAACAAATCTAGGGGGCTATGTCCCTCCGACTGGATTTAGTTGCAGAAAACACAAAGCATTCTGGCTGTTCCAGGTGGAAAAGGATTTAACACAAGGTATTAGGTGCTCACAAAATTTTAAGAAGTACACAGGGAGTGAGATCTAAGCCAGAACCGAACGGCGGACCTAGCTCGCAGGATACCTGCTACCCTCCACCACAGTGGTGAGGTGGGACTCAAGACCTTGAACCACAACACCTGCTAGTCAGAGACCAGGGGTTGCCACGGTGCAGCCAGTGTGTGTGAGGCCATGTCACCTCTAATGAAAGCCACACCAACAACAACATCAGGAGGCAGATGCACGGCCTCTCAGCTCCCACAGAGCTAGGGCCTGGGCCCGGAGACACCGCTGCAGAAAATCCCCATGGCCATGCTGCCTAGCAGAAAAGCAGGAAGAGCTACTGTTCTCACTTAAGCCTTTCGGGGAAGCCAGCTGAAGAAAGTGAATCACATCCAGAACCTCAGCTGCAGGCAACTCGGGGAAAGCACAGGGTGTGTTTGGGGTTGCTTGGTTCTAACTTTGTAGCTTTATAGCCGCTCTAGTTTAAAGAGGCTCACCATGGATAATGAGCGTCTATCCACCATATTCATTATACTTTTCCACCTGAACTTTCTCTCAAACTCATTTTTCTATGTTATCTTGAACGTACAGTCCCCTTGGCCCCTCTGTTTTGTTTTAATGACCACTTTCCTTCAGGCATCACTTCCTTTCCCAACCTGTGGCCATTACTTTACTCACACCCTTTCAGTTCCTCAATACTGTTGCCCTTGATCCTTCCAGCACGTTCAGCCTGCAAAATCCCATCCATGTCAGTGCCATCATCCTTCTCCTACAAGCCTGCAACCCGATGAGCACTACCGGAGAAAATCACATCGACACTCCTCTTGGCACCACCACCAATTCACGGTCCTCACCTTAGATATTCTTCGCCTTCGACTCTCTCATTCACCTATTCACCTCCGCCGCTCTTTCTAAATGTCCGCCTAACATCCCAGGGAAGGGCGGGGCCACCAGGAACGAGTTCCCTCCACTGACTCTCCTCTCCTTCCCCCTCATTCGACCAGTTCCACTTCATATGCTGTCCTACCCGGTCCCCACTCATTCACTAAATTTCTGAAATAGCCTCAATGATCCACATGCCACCACTCTCAAGCCCTTCCAATGTACTCACTGCAGTGCCGAGAGGACTTGACTAACACATAAAGAAGCTGAGCATGTCATTATGCTAATGGTGTAACTGACATGCTTTTTAAGTGGGGAAAAGGCTACGTGTAGGTGAGCATACACGATCTACTTCCTAGCATCACCTTACTCCACTCTAACATGGACCCCAAACTCTAACCAATGCCCCCAAACACCATTCTCTTTCTCACCTGATACCTTTGAAACTGCTGGGTTTTTGTTTTGTTTTTTTCCTAATTACCATCCTCCCTTCTGCCTGCCACGGCTTCATTGCGATTCATTCCTGAAGCCGTGCAATAGTCATCTCTTCCAGGAAGCATTTCCTAGCACAGCTGCAGGCAGATAAACACGAAGCTCTACAGCCTGGAAGAATTGATTCCAACTCTCTCATTTGACAGAAGAAAACACTGAAGCCCAAATAGTAACTCAAGGTCTGAGAACCAGGAAGTAGCAAAAATAGAGCCATAACTGAGGTCACTGAATCTGAGCAGGTGGGACAGTTTCAGAAGGATCTCTCCTCCTTATATGGCTTGGCTCCTAGCCTCCTGTCTTCTCAAGCTGAGCAGTTAATTTATTTTTTTAAAAGAATTATTTATTGGGACGCCTGGGTGGCTCAGTCGGTTAAGCGTCTGCCTTCAGCTCAAGTCATGATCCCAGGGTCCTGGGATCAAACTCCACGTCGGGCTCCCTGCTCAGCAAAGAGCCTGCTTCTCCTTCTGCCTGCCGCTCCCCCTGCTTGTGCTCTTTCTCTCTCTCTCTCTCTCTCTCTCTCTCTCTGATAAATAAATAGATAAAATCTTTTAAAAAAAAAAAAAGAATTATTTATTTATTTGAGGGGGGAGGGGCAGAGGAAGAGGGAGAGAGAGAATCTCAAACAGACTCCCGGCTGAATGCAGACCCCGACATGGGGCTCGATCCCATGACCCTGAGCTCATGACCTGAGCTGAAATCAAGAGTCGGACATTCAATCGACTGAGCCACCCAGGCGTCCCTGAGCATTATTTTAAAAATAAAAATGCCTGAACCCCACCCATGGATAATCTGATTCAGTGAGTAGAGGCAGAGCCCAAGCAAGTGCTTTAAAAAAAAAAAAAAAATCCATCGCTCTTAACACTGAGGTAGTAACAAAGTTGATTCTAAACATCTACCTTTCTACAGATGTCAAGTACTTTTAAATCTATGACCACAACAGGTCCGGGCCAAGAGGAAAAGATTTCCAGAAGAGTCCTATGGTCAAGAGGGTCCTAACGCTGGTTCCATGAGATAATGGTTGCAAGGCCACAAGCTGGGAGACAGGATGCTTGAGGAAGAGTCTACAGAAGCCACGGAGAGGAACTGAGACTCACCATATCCTGAGAAGGCCAAAGCAGGACTTGAAAAATGGGTAATGCCACAGTCAGAGCCAACTGAGGCTGAGGGGACTGTGGCCTGGCAACCAATACCCTCTGAACGGAACAGGAATACTGTAAGGGGATTTTTTTTTTTTTCAAGTAGGCTCCACGCCCAGTGTGGGGCTTGAACTCACAACCCTGAGATCAAGAGTCACATGCTCCACCGACTGAGCCTGCCAGGCGCCCCCTGGAACAGGATTATTGTAAATAATTAAATTGTAGCCAGAGCCAATGTTAATAAGAGGATAATGAGAGAGAGTATGCAGAGCATTTATTATACATCCTGACACACATTAAATGAATACCTGTGTAATTTTTCCATTAGCCCAATAGTTGATACAAAAAAGGGAAAATACTGGAGGTAGGAAGAACTTGGAAGCCATCCACCTATTCAGTAGAAACTTCCTGAACTAAGGCTAATACCTAAGGGCCAGGTATTAGCGTTGCAAGTGGAGACAGCACAGGTGGTAGCTTTAAATTCGATCAAGATGAACTTTTCATTAATGGAACAATAGATGTTTAGAACTATCGCCAATTATTCTGAAGGTGATGGCTGACAAACTGATAAGACAGTGCTTCTGACAGATCTATGCATGTAGGGGACAAAAGCTAGAGTCAAGACTTGACAATGAGGAACATCCCCACCAAATTCTCTAGTTGTCATCTGGGATGTGACCAAGCCATGTGGTTTGGTTGAACCACTAAAAGCAGGGCCCTAAAGAATGACTGAACCAATCCTCTCTTCAGAGGATGATTCTCACAAGTTTACAACTGAGCCAAGCAGGCCAGACACAAAATGCGACATACAATAGGACTCAATTTCAATAAAGTTCATAAGCTGGCAAATGAACTATTATATGCTTATATGCTGTTATAAGTCAGGGGATTCGGGAGGCATAGTTTTTGGAAGATGGCAGAAGTGAACCTTCTGAGGTGCTAGTAGTATTTTTGTTCTTGACCTTGATAGATGGAAGGGGTAGCCAAAAGGTGTATTCACTTTCTGATAATCCATCAAGCTTGTCCAATTATGCTTCCTGCATTTTCTATACATATACTATTCTTCAATGAAAACTGTTCCAAACATTGGTACCCAGGATATATAAATATATAAGATCTCCTGTAAGTCAGTAATGAAATGGTAAAAAAAATGAAAAAAAAAATATAGGGCAAAAGACATGAATCACAAGTTCAGAAGAGGATTCAAAAACAGTCAATAAACGTATGAAAAAGTTGGTCAACCTCACTAATAATTAAGGAAAAGCAAACTAAAACAAAAATAAGGTAGCAATTGTACCCATCAAACTAATTTTAAAAATGTAAGTCTTATAATACAAAGTCCCACTTAAGGTTTTAGGGACCCCGGAATATTGCACAGGAGAGTATAAACTAATTTAAAATTTTGTAGAGTAACTTGGCAGCATCAATAAAACTGAATACTTTATTCATATACATACTCCACAATCTTAACAGTTATAAGGCTAATCAGCATGTACCCTAAAAAAACTCACACACTGGCAAATGTGCGTTAAAAGACAGGGATAAGGGGCACGTGGGTGGCTCAGTCGGTTAAGTGGCCGACTCTTTTTCAGCTTAGGTCATGATCTCAGGGTCCTGGGATCGAGCCCTTCTTGGGCTCTGTGCTCAGCATGGAGTCTGTTTGAGGATTCTTTCTCTCTCCCTCTGCCCCTCCTTCTATGCATGCACAGGCACACACTCTCTCAAATAAATCTTAAAAAAAAAAAAGACATGGATAAGGATATTCATTGCCACGGTCCTTTTGAGACAGGAAAGTGGAAACAAAGTAAATGAACACGAATCACATAATAAAAAGGATGAACAAGGCCAAAATTTGATTCTTTGAAAAAAAAATAATAGAACGGACAACTCTCTTATGGGACTAAGCAAGTGAGGAGTGAGAGAGAAATACATTGTAACAGGGATTAAAAGAAGAACCTTACTTCAGAAACAGACATGAAAAGAGCAAAGATGACAAACAGTTGGGTGCCAGAGTATCTGGAATATTTAATGAAATGAGCGAATTCCTACAAAAAAAAGGAATCTTACCAAAACTCCTTCAGGAAGAAATAAGAAACTGGCATAAGGCTATCTCCATTAAAGAAACTGAATCGGCAGATAAAAAGCTTTCTCCAGAGAAAATTCACCACCCAGATGGTTGTATTGGCAAGTGCTGACAAGCAGAGAGTTACAGGAAAACTAATCCAATTTTAAATAAGAATCCTGTGCTCCCCTGTGCCTCGGATTATGTCTTAAACATTATCAACTGCCAGGACAGCCAAGAAAAGGGAGTGTTGGAGGGTGAAAACACAAGCTGCAGAAAGATGAGTTTAGGATTCCCCGTTTGCATAAAAATGGAAGGACAGGCCGCCTGGGTGGCTCAGTCGGTCAAGTGACTGCCTTCGGCTCAGGTCATGATCACCTGGAGTCCCGGGATCGAGTCCCACATCGGGCTCCCTGCTTGGCGGGGAGTCTGCTTCTCCCTCTGACCCTCCCCCCTCTCATGTGCTCTCTCTCTCTCTCTCTCTCTCTCTCATTCTCAGTCTCTCAAAATAAATAAATAAATCTTAAAAAAAAAAACACGTGAAAATCCTTAAAAAAAAAATGGAAGGACAAGGGTATAGTTTCATTTGCTTGTATAGCATTATACAAAAATAATGTGGAGAAAGCAAGCACCTAATCATAGCAGCCACCGGTTAGGAAAGGTGTGATGGGCCCAGGGCAAACAGAGCTCAGGAGTGGGGAGGGCACTTGCCAGGGATGACTTTTTATACTTTGGGATTATTGAATCATGGGCATAAGTAGTACACATTCAAACAAATTAATTAATCTCTTCAGAAAAAAAAAGAATAACCAAGGAGAGTCTGAAAACTGTAACTGTGGGGAGATGGTGAATACAAGTAACAAAATATTACAAAGCTGTAATAACCATTAATTTTAAAAACAATAATTAGCAGGGTAAAATTATTAGTAGCAATAGGCTAACAAATCTGTCTCAGGTACACAAATCTCTTTACCAATTCTGCCTTAAAAGATCCAACTTGAACCAAAAAGCAAGTAAGTTTTAAAGAAGAAGAAAAATAGCAATAGGAAAATCATTTTGTGTTTTACCTTATACCACTTTAGTGAATCCAAAACACAACTCTGTGGGAAGTTCAGATGACAGGTAAGGCTGTCATCCCTTCCAGCACGTAATATTTGTCTGTATTCGTCTGATAAAATCAGCTGGCCATTTCCAGAAACACCACACCAGTATTTTCTTAACACAGTGAGGTTTACGTGGATTCTGTGACAGGTGTTTGTGCTGCTGTAAGAAAATGACAAATTGAAACCTCAAAAACTCAAACAACCACAAATCAAATGAAGCCGTTCATCTTCCAATCTTGCCAAATCATCATTAAGATACCGTGCAAACGCCCTACCTCAGCCAAGGCAGGATGCGTCTCAGAAATCATTAATTACAAAAGAAAAGAAAAGATTTCTATTGTGGAAACACGGGACCACACCATGGCCAAGGCATCAGGCTGAACAGCACCAGTGAGGGGCAAAGGGACACTGTGAGCCTCAGAGTGTGCTGTCTGAAGAGGGCACAAATGACTTAACATGGTACTCCGCCGAGACGGTTCAACCTCAACCTACGCATGAAGAAGTATCTGGCAAACCCAAATTAAGGGCTAGTATATAAAATAATGGCCTGTACTCCTTAAAAATGTCAATGTTGTGAAGAACAGACCGAGGAACTATTCCAGATGAAAAGAGACTGAAAAGACATGACAGCCAAGTGCGATTTATGAGGCCGGATTGGACCCTCTCCCAGAAAGGAAAGTAAAAAATTATAAAGAAAAATCGAGACAATTGACAAAATTAGCGTATGAATGGGGAATTAGATAAAAATATTGCATGATGGGTAGGATAACTATCCTGTGATTATGTACGAGAACACTCTTGTTGATAGCAAATAGCACACTGAATTACTCCAGGCTAAGGATGCATACAACTCAAAATTTAGAGAAATCTCCAAAAACTATTTTGGAAAAAATGGTTTAGAAAAAAATATTGCATGTAAACATACATATAGAGTTGACCCTTGACCAACTCAGGCGTTAGGGGCATCCCCGGATCCCTTGCGCTGTTGAAGATCCGCATAGAACTTTTGACTCCCCTGTAACTGAACTCCTAATAGCCCACCATTGACCAGAAGCCTTACTGATTACATAAACAGTGGATTAAAACATATTCTGTATGTTATGTGTATTATATACTGAATTCTTAAATAAAGTAAGCTAGAGGAAGAAAATGTTAAGAAAACCATAAGGAAGAGAAAATACATTTATAGTAATGTACCGTATTTATCAAAAAATATCTGTATAAATGGCCCTGTGAACCTCAAACCCATGTTGTTCAAGGGTCAGTTGCATATGGAGAGAGAGAGAGAGAGAGAATTATAAGGTAAATGTGGCAAAACGTTAAATAAGAGGAATCTAGATAAAGGGTAGATGGGATTTTTTTATACTATTCTTGCAAATTTTGTGTGAATTTGAAATTACTTCGAAGTAAAAATACACAATTTACTAAGTATGTATCATCTCTGTATGTTAAAGATTTGTGAGAATTCACATTTATTTCATGACAGATAGCATCTATGTCTACCTTCTATGAAAGGTTACCTTTCCCCGTTTACAGCTCCCAGATTTAAGTATTTCAAATCCAGCCTAGACATCCGCACGGAATTTGTGTGCCGTACAATCTCCCCCTCTCTTACTTCATAACCTAGAGTCACACAAGACAGCAGACCACCACAAGACGTCAGCACCTGGGAAGGAGCCAGGAAATAGGGGCTCATGACCTCTCCCATTCCTGTAACACTGACAGGCAGAGGCAAAGACCACAGAGACAAAGCAGCAGAGGGAGAACACAATCACCCTTCTGGAGTACTGACCTCACACATCATCTCAACTAATTGTCCCTTCAACTCTATCAGGCTGACATTTTACAGATAGGAATACCAAGGTTCTGATTTATTGAATAATTTGTTATTCAAATACTGACGAGCACATCAGTAAGGGAGGGTAACAAAATTGAGGGCCTTAGGCAAAATTTATCCATGAATGTGTTTTATTTAAGCCACACACACAAAGCTTACTGAAAAGTTACACACACACACACACACACACACACACAATTTCCAGGTTCCCTTGAAAAATTGGAAAATGGACTTGAGCTGAATAGACCACTGCCTTTGGTGCGACAAATGCTTTCTGGCTCACCACAGCCCCCACCAGGCTCAACTGTCTCCCACCAGATCTGTGCCACTCAGCTACACTACTTCCTAGCACAGGGCTCATCATGGGGCCTGGAACATAGCTGATGCTGAGTCACTGTGAAGTTCCTATCACAGAGCCCTTACAAAAAGGTGCTCAAAGGAGGTTTATTCCTATCTGGTTGTGCCGCCTGTCACACACACTTCCCAAATTCCAAGAAAGAAGGTAGCAATAATATTGGGAGAAACAAGTTTTTAAGCTGGTCTGGCTTGTGGCCTCATTTCAATGGGAAAAGATGCATCTCATGTTCCAACAACTGCTTTATAAATCTGTTCTGTTTTAAAATATGTTCACTGGAAACCATCTGGTAACAATTATAAAACTTTTATTCTTCTCACTGAATTTTCTATGTTTATTAAGAGTTTATTAAGAATTTTCCTAAAAGAATTGTGTATGTATATAACTGTAACATTATATATTTTTACATATACACACACACACATATGACAGACAGAGAGAGAGGGGGGTCTATTTGAAATGAGAAACTTACTTTATAACACATTGGTAGATCCCAGAGTCCTCCTGTGTCAGGGGCAGAAACAAAATCCAGTTTTGCTCCTGGTGAATTCTAGACTGTGTGTTTTTGGATACTGGGACTTTGTTAGGATATTTATACCATGTTACACGTACTTTCCCAGATGTTAGTGGTGGGTGCGTACAGTTAAAAGCAAAAGGCTGGCCTGCTGAAGGTGCCTCGTTTTGCACACTAACATCCTTGCATGCATCTAGGGAAAGAAAGGGAGAAAATCATGAAAGAGAACTCTAGCGTTATTGGTTATTAGTTTTAACAAATGCCTCTTTAATCTTCTAGCCAACTTAAAATTTTACTGGAGAGTTTTCTCACTGTGAGAGTTCCCTAAAATAGCCTGCTGATTTGAAAGCATAATTGGAAGTCCTTCAAATGTGTTCATAAAACACACTGACTCATCCTCCCCATTTGGAATGGTTTCTCTCTGTCCATTCTTTTGTAAGACCCTGAATCCCTTCATCCTCCTTCTTCAAAGTAAACGTTCCTATTCTGAGCCCCCCTTGTCCCATTTCTTTCTGCTCTGCCACCCAACTATTTCACTCGGTCTTCACTAAAAGGTGTAAGTATACCATCCCCAAAAGAACAGTTGAAAAAAATCTGCTCATTTTAAAGTTCGTTTCTACTGAATTGCTTTGAAGAAACTGTGTTTCTTCTTGGAAGAAATCTGCTGTGTTGATGGTTTCCGTGTTTTTACCCTGGGTCATAAAATGACCCTCTGTCATGTAAAATAGTATTATATCCATTTGAGCATTTTGACCCAAGACTTCCAAATTTGCCTATTCCCCCACCCCCATCCCCATCAAAGTCATCTCAAAACTCAAACGTGACACTGGGGCTGAGCATCAGATGCTGGGAACTGAAACTTGCTGTTTCCGCATTCAGCCGGAATTCTGCCTGGTCCCCTAGGGTAAGTGTAACCACAAGGTTCGGGTGTCATGCGATCCCCCAGGGGTCTGCACAGGGGCTCTCGCAGAGCCACAGGGAGGCAGGTAGGTGAGGGTGGCCTCTGAGGCCCAAGGACGGCCGAACGTACCTGCTCGGACAAAGGGTGGAAGCGCGAGGGACACTCCGCAGAGCACCAAGGCCAGCATCCCCCTGCTGGGCTACCAGAAGAGAGAAGGTGGGAGGGCATGGGGCACGGCGGCGACAATGAATCTCACAGATCCTAACCCAGGCCGCTGGCCTTCCCTTCCTTCGTGGGGAGCCTTCCAACTCTGGCCCCACATTAGCCCGACGTGCCCCCAAAGACTCCCTCCTCCCCGCCCGAACCTCCTGAATCCCGGCTGGAAGACTGATCAGCGGGAGGGGTTGGGAGGCCCGGGGCCCCGGGACCAGAAAGTCATGGTAGGATGGCCGCAGGAGGGAGGCCCCCAGCCTCCGGGGTGCGCCATCGCCTCTGTCTGGCAGCGAGGCAGGGTCTGCGTCCTGCGCCCGGTGGGAGACACGCCACCCACCCCGGATCCCCACCTGCGCGGCGTCGCGCGTAGCCTCCCTGCGCGTCCTTAGCCTCGGGCTCCCCCTGGGCCCGGCGGTCCAAACGGAGCCCCCACCACCGGCTCACCTGGGAGAAGCCAGCTTGACCAACCTGACAAAGGCCGGCAGGAAAAGAGAGGAACCCGGAGCGCCGCCGGACCGGCAGGTATAGACGGGAGCTGCACACCTTCGCCCAGAGACGGAACCCGCTCCCACAAGGTCGCCCAGCCGGTCCGGGGCGGCCCCGGCGTCCCGATCTCTGGCCTCCGGGTCGGTCGCGCACATGTTTGCCAGCCACCTCTTTCCCTCCACACCTTTCCGACGGTCGGCGCCCCACCCGCTTCGCTCAGCCGCACACTGCCAACCGGTGCCTACCTGCCCGACGGGACTGGAACGCGCAGGATCTTGGAAAGTGGAGAATCCGGCGGACAGGCACCCAACCCAGGCGAGGCGTTTCCATACCACGCTACTTCCTTGCCACGGTGGGCAGGGCGGGCCTACCTTCCCCCAGGGGTTGCGTAGGAAGGAACCGGTGGCATCACACTAAGAAGTGGGTTTAAAGGCGTGTTACCTGATTCTCTGGCAGCCAACAAGTCTTTCATGGGCAGTCATGTCTGCTTAAATCTATTCCGAATTATCCCCGTAAACGAATTCTTTCCTTTCCAAACCTCATCTGAGCAGTGATTACATGCCCTTCTTGGCCTATATAGAATGCCCCCAGAGTGGAAGCTGTCCCAGGTGGCTTCCAAGGAATAGCCTTTATCTGCCTGAGTCGTGCTGTCAACTTCTGTAGAGCAGACATCCCAGTGTGATCCTGAACTACCTGGAGCACGAAGTCTGGTCCTGTCTGAAATTTCCAAATAAGATGATATCAGCCGGGACTGTTGCCCTAGCCCTCAGGAAACACGCCCAGAGAGATCCCCCTGAGGGGCAATGGGACTTAGAAAATACATATAAAATGTCATCTCCATTCAGCAGATTCCCGGCCAAGCTCTATCTGGTGGTCTTTGTGGTTTTAGACACAGTGAGGCAGGGGGCAGCCAGAGGAACAGGCCAGGAATTCAGCACCTGCATTACCAGCAGCGCTTTCTGTGATGGGCCCGAGGCCAGTGGATTGTTGGCACATTTCTTCAGTCTTAAACATTATTGAGGATTCCAAAGTGCTTGTTTATGTGGGTTATATCTGTCAATAGTTACTATATTAGAAATTAAAATGGAGAGCATGTAAAACATTTATGTTCTTATTTATTTTAAATAACAACAATAAACTTAACATAAATGTTAGCATAAATAGCGTACATCTTATGAAAAATAACTAGACTTGCCAAAACAAACAAAATTATTGAGAAAAGTGATATTGTTCTACCTACTACCACATACCCCTACTTAGTGTTTGCAAACGTCTTTGGTGTGTGACCTAATAGAAGACAGCTGGATTCCCATACCTTCTTCTCTATCAAATCTCTTAGGATGTAACATGCTGAGCAGCCTCTGAAAAAGTCCACTATACTCAGCAGAGAGAATGAGAATTTAAAAGATAAATAAGGTCTGAATATTACTGTAAAATCAAAACGATTTCACAGATCTTGGGGACCCTTAGGGCTCTCACACTTTGAGGACCCCTTTGCTAAGCTATAAATGGAGATCTTTATTGCTTTTCCCTAACATCAGCATTAAATGAGATTCCTCTGTACATACACATTTTGCAAGGCTTCAGCCCCCACCCAAAACAAAACAAAGGTGTTACTATGAAAACCATCAGATGACTCACATACAGAACTACTATAAGCAGTGTTAAAAGTTATTTCCAAATTTTCCTTAATTTCCGTTGTCTGTTTCAGGTTTCTACCTTATGAACAAATTTGGATCGTATCTTATTTTTTTATAGTTTGAATACAGGCGTGAGTGCCAAGTCCAATCAGTATACTTGCCCCAAAGCTTATGAAGTTTCAACGAGCCACCCCAGCCTCCCTGCAGCACCTCCTATGGGACATTTCTGGTATTTCCTTTTACTGGTGAGGCTCTGGACTGGAAACTTAAGACTTTGCGGGATGTTTTCTATGCCAAGTGTGTTTCCTGATACAGGGAGAGCAAGCCACATGGCTTTGAAGGCAGAACTGATGGGGGGCAGAGGTGGGGCGTGATTATAAACTTCATAATTAAAAACAACAGAAAACCAAAACATTATTGCAGGCTCTCAATTACCTTAAAAATTTGGAGAAACCTGATAACATTGTTTGCTAATGAGAAAAGGGGAGGAAGAAATTCAAACTATTTATGGAGCTTCGAGGCTTGCTTTGTTACAGTCATGAGAAAATTGCTGTTTTATGCGGGAACTTCCTGAATTCAATCACTTTATTCTTCTTCTCTGATTTTCACATTTAAAATTTTCCTTTTAAATGTGCATCATGCAATAGTTAACAGCTAAGTAATTCAAAACAAGTCATAAGTCATGTGAGCAAGACCCAGCCTCAGAAATCACAATGACCAAGTTTCCTGTATATGTGTCTCTCCCACCGCCCAAACTCATTATCCTCTTTAGTGCTTACCTTTCTGATGAGTGTGTGTGTGTGTCCCTTAAGCAATATAAAGTATGATATGCGAATATTTTGAGAAGTGTAGTTCTAGTTCATGCAAGGCCACTACTGTATGGATATTCCAGTGTATGAATGTACTGCAATTTATGTATTCATCTCCTTTGGACATTGTTTCAAATTTATATTTTCTCTTAAAAAGAATGTTGTGGTTGGACGCCTGGGTGGCTCAGTCAGTTAAGCGTCAGACTCTTGATTTTGGCTCAGGTCATATCTCAAGGTTGGGAGACAGGCGCCACACTGGGCATGGAGTCTGTTTAAGATTCCTTCTCTCTTCCTTTCCCTGCACCCCCTTCCTCTGAAAAAAAAAAAAATAGTGCTGTGGTAAAGATTTTTGTAATGTTCTCTTGTGTGGATTTTTGAGAGGTTATCTAGGGAGTAAAATCGCAGCATCTTTGGGTAGGTGTATCTTTGACTATATTAGAAAAATCCCTCATTTTCTCCACATTAGCATCTTTTAGAGGATAAGAGTTTCATCCTTTCATGTTCTTGTCAATATTTGGTAATGTTGCCAGTTTTGCCAGCCCAATGATGCAGAAAGCTATCTTGTGATCTTGTGATTTTACTTTACATTTCTCTAATTACTAGTAAGATGGGACATCTTTGCCTATGTTCATTAGCCATGGGTGTGTGTTTCTGTGATATTTCCTTTTGTGTATTGCCCTTTTACCCACCTGGTTGTTTGTCTTCATCTTGTCAATTTGCAGAGAACTCATTAAGTCCTACCTCTGATGTCTCCTGTAGTTGCCTTCAAAGGGAGGCGCAGATGTATCTCGCTGCCCTTTCCCTGGCCAGGAATTCAAACACCAGCAGCGCTCCTGATCTATGGAATAGGGATGATTAGACCCACTCTGCAGAGATGACCTTTGTAAAAAGCTCCTTGCTGAGTTCCTGACAGCAACAGATGTTTGATGAGCATGCAGTTTATCCTCACCCTCCCGCTGACTCCCTCTTCACAGTCTCCCAACTGTAGACATTTTTGCAATGGGAACATTCTGGGAAGTTTATGCCATTAGGCACAAGCCTTGGGTAATGGACTGTTTCCAATTGTTTCGTTTTGCTGTTTTGTTTTGTTTCTTTGTTTTATGAAGTGAAAGAATCCCTCCACAGACTCATTGCCTCATCCTGAGAGCAGGGGTAAAGCAACAATCTATGGGTGATGGAGGCATTGCTGAGTTCAGATCGGTTGAATTTTACCTTCAGATCTCAGACAAGGATGTGATGCAGCTACCGAAGAGTAGCAGGGCAATGATTTTTATTAAAGGTCTCATACATGAATGCACATTTTATATAATGTGCTGTGGCTTTTCTGTGTTCTCGTTAAATATCTGATGGTTTCCCACTGAACGCAACCTACATGTAACGTTTCTCAGTGAGAATGAAGCAGAAATATGTTCGTGTGTAATGGACAAATGCTCTGAAACCCAGGTTAGGCTGGGGTTGAGGGGGTGGAGGTTCTGCCCAGATCTTTGTATCTTTAAGATTCTTACATTCTCACATTTGTCCTCTCTGGGAGACTTGAAATCTACACTAGCAATGCTGTGGCAGGCTTTTGTTGCTGGGACAGCATGAACTTCCAGAGACAGAAGAGGCAGTAGGGAGATAGCCTTTGGTTTCCTGAGGTCCCGTGCCTGCCCTCTCCCCCAAGCCCCATGATCAGCTCGTTCGCTCACTTGCGGAGTATTCACACCGCCCCCACTGTGCACCAGAAGACATTCTGAGTGCTGGAAACAGCTGTAGAGAAGATGACAGATCCTCTCAGAGCTTACAGTCCAGTGGCTGGTGGGTGGGGGGGGGGGACAATAGATATGGGAGAATCACTGAGTAAGAGATGGTTTCAAGCTGATGAGAACCACAGAGGATACGAAATACAATGAAATGATAGAATGTTGGGAAAGGCTTCACTAAGGAAGGGACCCCATAGCTGAGACCCGAGTGATGACAAGTAGCCCACCCAGGTAGCTATCTGGGGAGAGACTTCTCCTTCTAGTAGGGACAGCTAGTATAAAATCTCTGAAGGAGGAGAGTGTTTGCACATTTCAAGATAACACAGATGAAGCCAGTGTGACCTGAATAGAGTGAATCAGCAGGAACCCTGGGTAAAAGAAGTCACAAAGTAGGCTGGAGCTAGACCATACACGGGCCCATAGGCAATTAAAAAGAAGGTTAGATTTTATTCTAGGTAAAATTAAAAGCTATTAGAAGGTCTAAAGCACAAAAGAGATATAATCTTATTTACATTTATTAAATGTCATGTTGATCCTTAAAAGCCCATCAAAATGACTGAAATTATAAAAACTGACACTACTAAGTGTTGACAAGGATGTGGGACAACGGGAGCTGTTGCCTACTCTTGGTGGGAGCACAAACTGGCATGACTACTTAGGAAAACTATTTGGTACTATCTTCTGAAGCTAAGTCAGCAAATCCACTTTGAGGGATACTCCAAATAGAAATGCATGCATATGTTCCCAAAAGAGACGTTTGCCCGAATATCCACAGCAGTGGTATTTATAACAGTCAAAAACTAGAAATTACCTAAATGCCCATCAACAATAAAACAGGTAAAACAGGTGTGGTAGATTCACACAATGAAATACTGGAGAGCCATGAGGGGGAACTACACACAAATACAGGCGACAACATGGATAAATCTCACAGATGAAACTCGTATATATATATATATATATATATATATATATATATATATATATATCAAGCAAAAGAAAATAGATTTAAAATAAGACATCATGCTACTTGACTCCACTTAACATAAATTTCAAAACCAGGAAAAATTAATCTATGCTGTTGAAAGTCAGGATGGTGGTTCCCCTTGAGGCAGGGGCTGTAAGTGTCTTGAGGGGGC